CTTCTAATGGAATGATTAGTTGATGACTTGTACAAGCTCCTAATTATGACAGCTGCTCTTCCGAATCAAATATCATAAATTTCTGATCCAATCCAACAATACGAGTCAAATGATGCATCTCATTTCTCAAAATATTAGCACAAACTGCATGAAACGTTCCAATATGACTGAAATCCTTTGCATTAATTCTCTTTTGAAAATCGTACAATTTCACAAGGTGAACAAGTCTTGTTTTCATCTCCTGAGCAGCCTTGTTAGTAAAAGTCATGGCAAATACATTCCTTGGTTCAATTCCTTTAACAATACACAAGTAGGCAATCCTGTTGGTGATGGTCTAAAATTTGGATCCATGACCGTTATGAATTTTTTAAAAAAATTAAATAAAAATTAAAAAAAAATTCATCACATCATCACAAGATGAATATTCATCAAATAATTAATTATTAATTCCCTCTACCATCCAATAATAACAACAACTTACCTTTGTCTTACCAGATCCCGGTCCACTATAAACACATACACAATCATGTTCGCTAGCACAGACAGCCTCCAATTGTTTGCTATTTAATTCCTTTTGCATACATTCTTCAAGGAGAGAATTTGGTAACGATGAAGATGATGTTCCTCCTTTATGCTGATTGTTTCCAATCAGAGGAAGACTATTCTTGCTTGCTTCTGAAGAAGAAGAAGGAAAAAGACTATCATTCAATATGAAGTCTCTATCAATAGCTTGAGAAGAAGAAGGCTTTGAAAGATCTTTGTCAATATTCAAGTCTTCCATACTGGAGCACAATTGTGAGAGTGTGAGAGATGAGCACTGGCTATTAGTGTTGTTGGAAGGAGACTTGTTATTTGATGATGAAGAAGAAGAACCACTTGTTGATGATAACAAGGAAGAAGGAAGCACTCTATTCATCAATTGTATCGTCTTGTTCAAAGTATCATCAAAAGCCTGCTCACTGTGCTGTAATTTGCTATTGCTTTTGAAGGATGATGAAGAAGATGATATGTTGGTTGTTGCTGTTTGTTCTGATGAATCTAACCACTTGAAGAATTTGCATCGACTCTTATCAGTCATACTTTTAGAACAGGAGGTGTACTTTCTACCCTGATTTTCTCCCTTCGAGGTCGTTCCTTGCTTGGCAATTAAACCACAATGACACTTGTTGTTGTTTGAATACATTTTTTCCTTTCTTTGATTTGCTTGTACAAGTAATTGGCAAGTGTGAATTCCTTGTAAGCATTACGGAAGCAAGTTTATTTGTTAGAAAACAAAATTATGCACCTAATTGAACAGAGACATGCTATTGTTTACTTCTTTCCATCACAATAGCTCTTTGAAACTCTTTCCCTCTACCTTGGAATGCATGAGGAGCTAGAACAGAAATCTCGGATAGGATTTAAAATTCCACAACAATCAAAAATCTTAGTCTTTATCAATTTTGTGCATCAACAAACACTTTAATAAAATTACAACTTGCTAGTGATGAAACCATTTTCATCCAAAAATTTAACAGAATCTGTAACACTATCTTTCCAATTCATAAAGTCCAAATTAAAAGTATTCCTAATCTTGCTATTATTGAAGAATTGTGGTTTGCCCATCACAGAGTTCAAGTATTGTCTCAATCCTTTTGGTTGAATCAAGGCAGCTAATTTACCAACACCAATTCCAAGATATCCAGTCAAATTAATAGTTGGCAAATTCTTGTTCCATTTGTATGGTGGATTAGGGAATGCTTCTCTCATGTGATTCACCAAATCCTTCATTGAGGTTGTGACACCATTTGAAACAACGAAACGTTGCTTCTTGGATGGTGCAAAGTATGTCTTGTCGTCCATATTCTTTTCCATGGCATTGATATGAGCTTTGGAAACATCTCTAACATCAACAAATGCAAAATCAAGTGGTAAAATAACAGGGAATTCACCTCTGGCCATCAACATGATACTTTCATGAGATTGACTGATAAGTTTTGGATTAATTGGAGGTCCAATAACAACAGCAGGACACAAGGTCACTAACTCCAAAAAGTCATCACCATTCTTAGCTTGAGCATCTTGCATTAAAGTCCAAGCAGCCTTTTCAGCAACAACCTTCGAATAGAGATATGGATTATTATTCACAGAAGAATCAAGATTCCAATCAGTTTCATCATAAACCTTTCCAGGAACAGATGTTTCAACAATAGAAGCAATAGAGCTAGTCAACATAATTCTCTGTAATCTTGCTGGATCAGTACTGGATTGGCTCTTTCTCAATTTAACACACTCTTGCAACACATTCAAAGTTCCCTTCAATGCAGGATCAACTAAATCTCTCTGTGGATCCTTAACATCAACCTTAAAAGGTGAAGCAGTGTGATGAACAAATCGACATCCCTTAATTACCTTCTCAAAACTTCCCGACTTGAGCAAATCAGCCTCAAAACACACCAAATTCTTCTCCATCAATTCCCTACTCACCAATAACCCTGTTCCCTTCTCCTTTGAATTTTTCTGATCAAATTGTAATATATTTTGTATTAATTCTCTTCTTCCGCTTTCAAGGGAACGAACCGTAGCATGTACAATATATCCCTTTGCTAATAATTGATAGACGAGATGAGTGGCGATAAAGCCAGTTGCGCCAGTAACGCAAACATGAATATTATTTGATAATGATGATAATGATGATGAATTATTTGATGATGACGATGATGGTGTATTCATCCCGATAAAGTTATTGTCCGATGATGATGAAGCGAGGAGGGAAAAATTTGGTCCTTCTTGTTGGTTCATTTTTTTTCATCTCAAAATTTTAGATTTTATTAATAATTTACAGTATTTTGTAATTTAATTATTAATTCATGAATTTCAAAGATTTAGTGTTAAATTTATTGGAAGGGTTTAAATTATTATCCAAATTAATCAGTTGATGTAAAAGTGTGTTGATAACTGGCATCTGATGCGATTGATCCTGAGCTAGACATGTTGTCCGTATCAATGGTCGTCATTTGACTTGTTTCAAATTGTGAAATAAATCTCTTAAACTTATCCAAAATGAGCATACTCTTAATAATTGTTTCTAAATTATCAAAAAGTTGTAATTGGCCAAAACCTTCCAAAATTTTCTTCACTTCTGTTGTAAAAACTTGTTTTGAAATATTGATTGGTGTTGCTGAATTTTCAGAAAGAAACATTTCAATAATTTCCTTTTGTTTCTTGGCTCTTTCGTGAGTTCTTGATAATTTCTTATATTCCATTACTTGTTCCAAAAAGATGACATTTTCCTCAGCTCGTTCCTTAGTGCAAAATTCCTTAAATTGTTGTCTTAGTATTGGATCTGTCATGTATCTGTCAAAGTCAGAATGTTGTTTCATTTCATCGAGTTTATCTTGTTTGTTCTTGATGGTTTGTTTCATTTCGTTTTGATCGCTCAAATTTCTGGCAACAATCATGTATGCATCCACTCGTGTGAATTTACCCATAATTACCTTAATTCTTTTAGCAGTGACATGTACTGGAATATTCAATCCAAATCCTGATAGAATGGTAGTTTCCCAATGTGATCCAGTCGTGGCAAGATTTTCCAATTTTTGTAAAAGCAATTCCAATGATGGAATTTCCTTAAAATAGGCAAAGACAGCTTGATTGAAGGGGAGTGCTTCAAAATTTACGGAAGCTCTCTGTTTTCTCAAGATTCTACTCTCAAATGAGAGGTTGATATTGAGAAGCATGCCATTTGAGCAGTCAACAGTTACAATGAAATCGTCAATACTATTCATGACGCATCTACTCTTGGCCTCTTCGAGAGCAGTCTTCTCCAATAAATCCTGCATCACTGTATTGTCCTTTTCGAGTTGATTTTGCACATGTTCAATCTCTCCGAGCATGGTGTTAAGATCTTTGGATAATTGACCTAGTTCATCATTTCCTAGTTTTGGAGCTCTAATTGCATAATTAACAGTGTCGTGCACACGTTGTACAGTACTTGATAGTGAGATGACTCTTCTCAGAACTATCATTTCCACAAAACAGACAATGGCAATTGACATGACAACAATCATAAAAGTCATGACTGACCAAACAACTAGAAATGATGCCATTCCTATTTGAAATGTCTTTCTTGGAATATCGGATCGAATAATGAGTGACTTTTCTCCATCTAGTGTGTAGAATGCTTGATAGGAAGCCATTCTATCGGTAGGAGATCCAGCATTGAAGGAAACAGAACTTTCATCATTCATATTATCTTTCCAACATTGACGATTATTCAATTTCACTGAATTTTCTTCACTCGAGTCCAAAAACTGAACCAACGACGATTCGTTATCAATCCAATCAGTTAAATAGGATGAGGTTGTAATATTTGTTACTTTCCAATCAGTTCCACTCGAAAATGCATTCGTATCCAACGATCCAATCGATTCCTTGAATGAATAGAGGTCAGTTTCGTTTTTCAAATTCATCATGGTCATGCAAAGTTGAGTTCTTTCAGCCATATCCAAAGCATGTTCATCCAATTGATACTTGGCAAACAAGACTAAACCTCTCGAATAATCATAATTTGTACTCTGCACTGGCATTGCAGCTACCAACACAATATTCGTCACATTCGATTCATAACTCGAAAGGAAATTCCTCGATTCATCAGAAGTTGCCATCTCAAAAATTGTCTTTTTTGGAATTAAAATTCCAGATTTCCTACTCCAAACATTTTCAATATCTTGTAAAAAGAAATTTCCATACGAATTCTTTTCCAAACTTGAAAACTCATCAGGAACTTGTTCTATCATTTGCCCCTTAAAGCAATGAACTTTTGTAATTAAAGTTCCATCTTTCGAATAAAGAAAAGCCATATTCACATTCACACTATTTAAATAAACACAGTGCCAATACATTTCAGTGTAATTTCCAATATTTTCCTGAGTGAGATTTTCATAGACGGAAACTGTATCATCAAATGCTCCAAATTCGAATACTTTTGACTGTAAATAATTCAAATCGTCCAATAATGCTCGAGAAACTCGTTTACTTGCTTCTTTAGCTTGTTGATATTCCACATTTTGAAAAACCACGAAAAAGGCAGCTAGTAAAATCCCCAGACAAAGTGCCATCAATCCGAGAAACATTATAATTAATACGAAAGTAGTTTTCACTCGTAAACTAAAGTTTCTTCCAAAGCAGCAAGTTTTAATGTTATTATTCGAATGTTTTTCGGGACGATTTGAAGATGATGAAATCGTTAGAGGGCTCGGCGTTATTTGTCTTGTTTTCATATCGTTGATGAAAGCTTTCTTTTCTAATTGTTCGAAACCTGCCGAATCTTTTATATTTCTATGTTTTTGGACAAGAGATATTCGAATTAGAACAATAGATAAGGTAACAATCCATTAATTATAAACCTACTCGGTAGACAATTGCTTTCGAACAACTGTTGCATTGTTATTATTCGAAACTGAAGAAGAAACATGTTTTGGTTGTGAAGACATTTTTTTGTTGTGTGTCTTTACATCATTCACAAACTGAAGTGTCTTTGGATTACCTTTCTTTCCGTTTAGGGAACATTTGTGGTTACAAAGAAACACACTAACGGATAGACCTAATTTGGAATTTCGAATAGTTTAATATTACAAGAAATTCAAAGTAATCAAATTCCAAGAATTTCCAAATGCAACCTTAATTCAGAAAATTTATAAATAAATTAATTTCAATTTTTTAAAATTAATAATAAAAAAAAAAAGGAGAAATTAATAGAAAATACGGTGAATTGGCCAATTCATAACATAAACACTGTTTTATTGATTCAATTAAACTATCTCACTTTATTCGAAACTAGTAGATCCATAAATAGACCTTGATATCAAGAGAGATTGAAGTAATAGACTAGCCTTCATGAAATTCACAACTTTTATTGGAAAGTTAAAAGATAAAAATGGAGAAAATGGAAAGAGATATGCTTTCCAATGATGTGAATGAAGAAAAGACTGAAACCTCTCAGATAATTGTTGGGTCCAAGAGGAGAAACCAAATAAAAAGAAATGTCTCTGCTATTTGAAGAGAAAGAGTATAGAAAATTAATATTAGAAACCTTTAGTTTTGTTTATTTGTGGGTTGCGAATTTTGCGTTTGGTTGTTGGAATACATTGACCTCAATTTCAGCTTCTTCAGTCCAGCTCGATATTTTGGGATCTTCGTTCTCCAAATCAAAAGACATTAGTCTTTCTGGTAGTGGGAATAGTTTCTCTCCAGTTTCGTCCGATTTATACAACATTATTTCATCAAATCATAGTGAGAACAATCATACAAGTGCATCACCCTTGAACAGTTATACATTTCCATCATCTGGGAGTAAAGACAGCAAAGATGGAGAAGATTCGTCTACTTGGGTAGAAACAATTAGTTCAGTTTGTGATAGTGTATTCTCAGTTTCTCCAGATTTAACCAGTTATGATGAAGCACTGTTTGAAACTGATAAAGTGGTAAGGAGAGGTTCCATTCTTTCGAATGAAAACTTGGCTTTTAAACGAAACTCGAGACGAATGACAATTGACACAGTTGATACACTTGAAAATTATCAATCAAATGAAAGAGATATAAGAATTCGAAGCAAATCAGCACCTATGCAAAGAGATTTCCAAAAAAGGATGAATAAATGATTTCAACCTCAAATGACATTAAATTTTCATATTCTGAAATGAACGAATTACGATTTTCTCATTTCTAAATGTAAATTGCTATTAAAATTTTGATGTTGGTTGATTTATACGAAACCTCAACACGAAAGTCCTCTAATCACGAAAACCGAGTTTGTATTTTAATTTAGTTGACGAATATGCATTGAACCATTTCTGATATGGAGTTCTAAATACTTTTTTGATTTTTTGCAACCAAGTCGATTGACCAATGAGTTTCGTATAACTTTGCGCGGGAATGTGTTTGCTTCATGGCTATCTCTAAGGATATTTCATTCTTCATTAAACTCTGACGATTTCAAAACCTTTTTACTCACAACGAAAAAAAACAACTTTAAACCTTAAAACATTCAAAGTCGAAAATAGACGAAACTCTACGAAACTCAGCATTATGGTTTATTCGAGTAGTAAAGTCGTTCCTGCCAGTATTCGACAATCCATAGAGAATCCACTCAACCTTTCAACCAATTCCAAGAATACATATGCTCTACGTTATTCAGTCGTGACAGCTGTCAACCAAAAATCATTTTCTGGATTAAAGCAAAATGTCGAAGAAGTTTCGAATGCAGATTCTGATGGTTCCCTAGCTGAGAATGTCAAGAATGAAAAAACTGTCAGCTGTTTCAGATCTGTCAAATTCTTTATCATTTCCATGATTACAATCCTAGTTGTCCTGTCAGCTTTAATTATCTCAGCAACTTGGCTGTCAAGTTTCGGTCCAGCAATCACATCTCTCTCATCAACTATTCGAAAGAATGAATTCGAATCTGTTCGTTCCTATATCGAAAAAACAGTTCAGGAAATTGTGCTAGTTGTCAATACTGCCAAAAGTCAAATTCACGAAGATGATTTGGATCATCCTGACAAGTTGGAGTTGTCAATGTTCAAATTTTACAAATCAGAGTTTGAAACACATGATGCATTGCCCTCTGCCATTTTGATTGGTAATCAGACAGGTTCTATTTCAATAATTAATTGGGGAACTATTCCAGCATTTGTTGACATTGGCACGTCCTATCAGAAAGTATATTATTGTTTGGCAGGTTTGACAGTCGACTATTGCAAAAGATCAGTAACTCCTAATATGATCATGCCAAGTTTTGAATTATCTGGATTATATGCCACTGCCAAGTCAAATCCTGACAATTCATTATTTACTCCTTCCTATAATGTCGGTGCCGATTTAACATTTGTCACCATGATGACATCTTGGCTTAAATCAAATTCCACAACTGAAATTTCCAAATATTTGGCATTTAGCATGGAGTTAAAACGTATCTCCAAATTCTTGGAAGATCTCGTTTCGAGTATTGCAAGATCGACAGCATTTATTATAGAAACGAAAACTGATTATTTGATAGCTGTCAATAATCGAACGATTTCTTTGGCTTATTTGGCAGAAAATAAGGTGGATGTGATTAGAAGGACTGGGTTGACTGTTTTGTCTGAGGAGCATAACAAGTTGGCTAAGGAAATGTACAGAAACTATCCAAATTTGAAAGAATTGAAATGTGACACTCTTTACCAAATTTCTACCCTTAATGAATACATTACCGTATATAGATTTTGTTCAAAATATAATTTGGATTGGGTCATTGCCATGTCCACTCCACAATGGAATTACATTTCTCCAATTATCATTGCTCTATTGGCTGCTTTGGGTGGAAGTATAGTAATTATCGGAGTTAGTGTTTTGGTTGGAGTTGCCTTTTCATTCCGTATTGTAAAACCATTCAAGACTTTAATGACAATGTTTGAGAGAGTGGCCAACATGGATATAGATGCTGCTCTACAAGATCAAGAATCGAAAAGTTACTTTTCAGAGCTCAATTATGTTCAAACTCAATTTGCAGCAATGTTAAAAAAACTCAAAATGTATCGAGCTTTCATTCCAAGTTATTTGTTAGCAGAATTAGATGGACAATCAGATGAAACAGGGAAACAACAGCAGGCAGCTTCTTCTGCTCTCCATCAAAGTATAAACAGGTCCAGAATTTTAACAAGTGGCAATTTCAAATCAGGTTTGTTCAGCTCGATTGATATGATCAAATCCCAAAAATCCAACTCTTCAAAGAAAGGTCAAAATTCCATGTTTTCTCTCTATTTGGAAGGTAAACAAGTTACGTTTCTGGGGATTTTACTAGACGGTCTGGATCAGTGGTACAAGACAGAGGATTGTAAATCGGTGGTCAACTTGCTATCTCTTGTTTATGAGCAAATTAATGTTCAGAGTCGAAGCAGTGGATTTAATATTGGAGCATTTGAGAATGATATTATTATTCTTTCGTTTAATACAACAAAAGATAGTCAGAATCATGTGGAAAAGGCGCTTTCAACTGTTAAGGTTTTACAGGAGAAATTGCTAGCTGTGAGAAAGAATTTGGTTTCGAACAGTTTTTCATCTCATTCCAGTAAGAAGAGTGAAAAGGTTTCACATCAATTGGCAGAAAATTTGCAGTTCAGATTTGCAATTACTACCCAAAGAGTATATTGTGGAAATTTGGGCACTTCAGAAAGCAAGAATTTCTCAATAATTAGTTCTGCTAAAGTCAACTTGGAAAAGTTATTGGAAACTGCGCATCGTTTAGATTTACAAGTAGTCATTCCAGAGAGGATATTCGAAACTGCAAGTAAGACATATCAGACCAGATTTGTCGATATGAAAATGTTAGCTGCTGATCAATTTTATCAAAATTCCATTTTTGTAAAAACTGATTCCTTAATTGATATTCATAGTATTGAAGATAGCGTAATTACCAATGATATTGCTGGTCAGGAGGCTATTTATGAATTGGGATCGAGTAATAAGGTCTCGGAAGATGGTAAGTTTTTTTCCTGATTTTTGTTAATTAATATTGACTTTCCAAACTTTAGAATGGATGTATGAATTGCAACAAAAGAATCAATTATTGAAATGGAAAAAGTATCAAGATGCTTGCCTCGAATACTTTTCAGAACATTATGAAAATGCCTTGAAATTATTCGAAGAATTCATGGCCGAAAGCTCAAATAAGGAAACAGCTGAATCTCTCAAAGATTCTGCCAATGCTCCTCAATTAGAACCACCACTCGATCGACCAGCTCTCGTTCTCTCCAAAATTTGTAAAATGAAACTTGGTATCTCGTAAATATTTAACAAAATTATAACACATTCTAAAATGTATAATCAAAATTATCGTGTTGTTCCTCTTAAATATCATCATTTAAACTTTGAAAACATTGTAAAAATAAGGAACCATCAATACGTGTTCCTAACTCATTCCTTCTCTGCTTCATTAACCTCCTATCCACACGTTTTGTGCCAACAACACGTCCATCTCCGAGGAATAACGTGTTCGACAATTTTTTTCAAGGCTGTGGAAAGGTAACACGTCTACGGATCTATTTTTGGCGCTAAAATGAGATCAAAATCTGATCAATAATTTACAAAAAAAATACTCAAAGCACTCGCTTGATAAATATTAATCCACACAACAAGATGTTAGTTGCTAATTCTGGTATGGTTCCTCATAATGCTATCACTGGTTTCCAAAATGATGGTGCTGGTGTTGTTTATGTAGCTGTTGGTAGGTTTGATTTAATTGATCATATCGTGATATTAATCGGATCAAATATTTAATATTATAAAAAAGCCCACTCACAATGGGGTAACATTCCAGGAAAGGCCAATGCCAGTGGAACTGCTTGGTTCCCATATGGTGGACAAGAACAAGTCACTAATAATTTCTCCTATGTCGTAAATGGTACTACTTACAAGCATAGTGGTGACTCTCCAGCTCAATCAGTTGCCACTGGTTATCAAAATGATGGTGCTGGTACTTTGTGGAGCGCTATTGGTAAGTGTTTTGATCATTTGTGAAATAACAACAACTATTTCACATTTTAAAATATTTGAAAATTCATGAATATCTAGCACATACTTCTCATGGTGATATTCCAGGAAAGGCCAAGGGTAACACTTGTTGGTATCCTTATGGCGGTAAGGAAGAAACTACTCAAAACTTTTCCTATGTTTTCCACTTTTAAATTGAGCTGATCTCATCAATTTATTAAACCAATTATTTTAACCAATTAAAATGTGTTACTTTACTGTAAATCTTTACAAAATCCACAAGTTACTATGAAAATCACAGCTGTGATCATTACAACATCTTTGAATGATTTCTAGTTTCAACAAGAAAAAAAATGGCCCGAACCAAACAAACGGCAAGGAAAGTAAGCTCATCCTCCGCCTTCGAACATCAGAAGAAACGCAAAGCAGAAGAACCAAGCTCTTCGTCATCTTCATCCTATGCACCAAAACCATCATCATTTTCCTCTTCAAAAGATGATCCACAATACATCAAAGAGAGAGAAGAATTAGAAACAGTCCGAATTGATGCTCTCCACAAAATCGATGAAGAAAGGAGAAGAAATCAACAAAAGATGAAGGAAATCGAAGTTCTAGAAAAGTTTAATGGCAACAAGATGGATGACCAACAAGATGATCATCTGAATAGTGAAAAGGTGAAGGAAATCTTGCAATCAGGTGAAAATATTGTCAAATTGATGGTCGGAGGGAAAATGTTTGTTACCTCACTTTCTACCATTAATAGAAGAGAGAATATGATCAAGACCATGTTGAATTCTGATTTTAAGGTTGATCGTGATGAGAATGGCTGTATCTTGTTGAGTGAGAGTAATCCAGATTATTTTCCAATCATTTTGGAGCATATTAGAACTGGTAGGTTAAGAATGTTTAGTTGTGATGACGAGTGACATTTATTTAATTCACACAGGATCCACCACATATGTAGGTTTGTGGGAAAATATAACTGAAGATACCATTGAAAAGTTAAAAGCTTTGCTGATAGAATCTGATTACTTTGGTACAAGTAAATTAAGTGCAAGAGTTGCCGAATTGATCAAGCAACACAATTCCAATCAAAGACACCAAAGAATGGAAGAAAAGGAAGATACACCTGAAATCAAAGAATACAGAGTTTCTCAACATAACACTCTCCATTCTAATCAAAACGAAAGTGATGAAAAATGGTTGGATATGTTTTCAAAGCTTACACTCAAGGAAAAGACTGTCATGGAAGACTTTTTGAAAAAGGCTGAGGTTGATCTTGAACAGGAAAGAGAAGAACTCAGAAAAAGAGAGGCCTTTTTGAAAAAGGAACCAATTGTTTTCAATGTAAGAGGTGTGAAATTTTGCATTGGTATTGAAAAGTTACTTGTCCATCCAGAAAGTATTTTCCCTCAATTGATTCAAGCAAGTACCAACCGTGAAATATTCCTTGACAGAGATAGTGAAGTCTTTTCTGTATTGTACGAATATTTGGAGAGTGCAACCTTCACTTCAGTCCCAAGAGAAATGTCTCAGAGAAAACTGGTTTACAAAGAGGCCAAAGAATTCAAACTCCAAGGACTTTTAGACTTTTTAGATCCTCTTCGTTATCCAATCGAAGATATTGGATCTAATAATTTAAAAATCAAAAAAGAGGAAGACTTTTTGAGAAATTTATATGTTTCAGATAGAGAAAATCAGATTCTTTCAGATCCTTACATTCATTTGGTTAGTGTTTTTGGTAATGAACATTCTACCAGAGAATTACTCAAACCATGCGATCCTCCAAGTACCCTACCTTTGCTTTTTGATTTTGAAAACCCTGTTGAATGTTCTGAACTTATCAATGAATATTCAAGACTCAAATTGCCACCAATCCCAGAAATTGTTTCTGATAGAGAAGAATTCTTCACTCAATTTAACGCTCTAACTTGTGGTCTATTTAAAGATATGGATTGGAGTAATGTATTCGCAGCAGGTATGTCTTTCTTTAATATTTTTAATTATTCAATTTTCAATAATATTTAAAAATTAGGTGGTGGAATTTTGGCATGCATGCTCAAAGCTAAATTGGATAGAAAAGACTTGCTACAAGAAAACCGTTACAGTAGATTTCAAAAGGTTGATCCTTTCCAAGGTGGAGTAATGCAACAAGCAAAGAAAAAAGTGCTCTGGGATGAGGATGATGGTTCTAATTCTGATAATGATAATGGGTCTGTTGCAGATGGATATTTTTCAGCAACAAGTTCTGAGGACGATAAACCTGTTCGAGCCAAAAAAGCAAGCTCATTCAAAAAATACGAACAAGATGATTTGGATGAAGAACTTTTCAACTATTTTAGAAAATCCTATTGGAAAAACAGTGATATAGATTTATTCATTTATGGTTTGGATGAAAAGGAAGCCGAAAAGAAGATTTTTTACCTTTTTGAATTATTCAAAAAGAATATCAAAAACATTCCACATTTTGCAAAACCAGAAAATGCAAATGATAGCAACAAGTTCAACAAGCTCACTAAAAAATCCAAAAAATACTCCTCTCCAAAGTCCACCGAAGAAGGCACAAATTATGATGATATTTTGTTGATCAGAACTGAAAATGCTATTACATTCAAGTTTATCAGCTCAGTAAGGACAGTGCAAGTAATTTTGAGAATTTACAAATCTCCAGTAAGTTTACGTAATTTTTAAAATTTACAAATCTCTTGGTCAACAAAAGGCTGAAGTCTTAATTGGATTCGATGTGAATTGTTGTTGTGTTGGTTTTGATGGCTCTCAAGTTTACGCATTACCAAGAGCCATTCAAGCCATAAAGACAAGATGCAATATTGTAGACGTTGATAGACAATCTACAACTTGTGAGTACTTTAAAATTAAATTCTAATAATTTCATAAGACGAATTAAGGTTAACCAAGTATGCTCTCCGTGGCTTTAGAGTTGGAGTAGCTGGCTATGAAGAAAAAAGAGTTCAAAATGATATTTTGATAGGGGATCATTTCTACAAACATAATAGAAGATACTTTAGACAGCCTCAACCAAGAGCCAAACTTCATAATGTCACAGGTCTTGCCAAAATTCTCCTCATCAGACATGCCTATAAGCATGCCAATTTTAGAGGAGGACTGAAATCAATTGGAGCAGGAAATGATGTTGAATCTGCCGAAAAGACGGTTTCCAAGTCAAAATATCATGACTATACACAAATTCGTCTTCCTAGGTACAGTTGGAATTCTGAATTTATATCTGCTAGTCAGCTTTTTAATCACATTAAGGCAAGAACAACATACGTAGTTGAGGAGAAAAAGATGAAACTATTCTTTGAGTATTCACTTAACGATATTAATGGAATTATTCAACCAAAGGAACCAAAGAGTGACCTCCCTCCACATTTGGAATTTATAACATATGAGCCAACCCGTCAATATGTTGTTGGCTCATTCCATCCACATAATAGAAACTTTTTTAGAGATGCCTATGTTGATGAAAAAATAGAGAACAAGTCAGTAGGAAAGAAAAAGTTTACCAAGTATCAATGGATACTTGGGATAGGCTCTGGTAGAAATGTACTTGGTGAAGAAGAAGCAAAACTAGTGGAACAAGCATACAGGTTATTCAAAGCTCAAAAGTCAAGCTCAAAAAAGGCTACAAATTCTCTATACGAACTCTCTAATGGCAACACAATTAACTTTCAAACAATGAGCTTAGAATCAAAAATGAACAAATCTTGGTATCGGTCTAGAAAATTAGTATTGAGAACTCGTGAATCTCACATTTATGTCAAGAGATCCAAAGACGAGCTCACAAACATTCATGAAGTATTGGATGACGAAGAGGAAGAAACAGAAACATGGAAAACTAAAAAGAGTGAAAAGAAGAAAGAAAGTTCAGATGACGACTCTTCTGATGGGTGTCCATCACCAAAGAAGATAGAGAAACCACTCAAATCACCTGTTTCAAAGAAAGCAAAGAAGTATGACTCTGAAGAATCCGATGATGATATGAAATATGAAACTAAAAAGAAGATAGAAAGTTCGGAATCTGAGGAAGAGAAACCAAAGAAAAAGCTACCAACACCAAAAGAAACAAGTTACTCTACCAAGAAGAAGAAATAAACTCCAATCTTTCAACTTTGACGAATGCAAACAGTGAAAAAGTAAAATTGTTCGAATTTTCACTAGAATTTTCCAAAATCAAAAAAAATGCAAGAAAACAATTCATCCTCTCGGAATAACAATTCATCATCATCTTCGAAGGGTAGTAGTGGAGGAGGAGGCGGATTGATTGTCAATGTAATGGATTTTGATATTGATGAGGAACAGGAAAAGGAAGAACGAGAATTGGAAAGTTATCGACAAGATGCCAATCAAAGGCTTGCCGAATTGAAAAGGAATTTTAAATCATCATCATCACCATCATCGTCATCTGCTACTTTGAGGCTTCCGAATAGTGCTCCAGGCTTGGGATCATCCAATAATAATAATAATTTAATTAATTTCAATCAACAACAACAAACGAGACAATCATCGTCTGTAGCAAGCAGTAGCAACACACCAACAACAAATTACACGAGTAGAATTATCAATAGAACACCTGGTACTGTGGTTTCTCCACCAAATAGCATTCCGAGTAATAGTAACGTGCCATTCGTGCCACAAAAGTTTATTCCTCCACAAAGGATTTCACAAACATCTCAAAATTCTCAAAATTCTCAAAAGAGTAATTCTTCTCCGAGTGTTGGTAGTGGATCTTCATCTTTTGTTACTCCTGTCAAGTCGTCTATGACATCTTTGAATCAAAGTACTCCTCCAATATTTATTCCTCCATTTAATAGTAGTACACCATCGACGCCTTCTTCTGTTGGAAGTAGTAATAGTGCTTCTGCTTCTCCATTGATTGAAAGCATTAGTCCACAAGTTGCTGTAACATCAAATCCTGTACCACCTAATTCGTATGTGCCTTTTCCCACCACTGCCACAACCATTGTTGCAAATGAAGTGCAAAAGAAGAATCCCATTGTAAAACACATTCGGGACAAGGTTTTCAAATTACACTTTACAAAAGATTGGACCTTAACTGATTATATTCTAGGAAGACAAACCACTGCATTCTATCTCAGTCTTAAATTTCACATGACCAAACCGAAATATATTTTAGAGAGAATTAAGAATTTTCACAAGACTGAAATTTGTAAAAGAGGCACGTTTACTAATCGAATCATTCTAGTGAATGTGGATGTACATGTGGATGCCTGTGGAGATTCATCAATTTATCTATCTAATCATCAGGACTCTCAGGGTGAGAATGGTGGAACCTTTAAGGCACCAACCTATGTTTCAGAGACTGCACTCGATGAGGCACTCATAGAAGTAACGAGAATTTCCATGTGGGCCGATTGGACTGTGATTTGTGGATTTTCAGATGAGGAATGTGCACTGTATTTGGAAACCATTAGAGCATGCGAGACTAAGGGTTCATCATTGATTCAAGGACCTAATCAATCATTGGCCTCACTTCAATCATCAACCAATTCATTGGTTACATCAACAGGAGGACAAGGTAAACGAAAGGGAAATAGGAGATGGAGTAGGGAAAGTAGCTCCAATAGCAACTCCAAACCAGTTGAGGTAGAAAAACTTTCGCACACTGAGGAAGTGCATCAACTCTTTGCTGCCACTCTGAAAAACACACTCAACAAGAGAGATCACATTACATTGCTCAATCACTTTGGATCACTGAAAGAGGTCATTCAGACAACATCTGATGAACTGAATGACTTGCCAGGTTTTGGTAAGAAGAAGGTGAAGAAACTCATCAATCTATTCCAGACTCCATTTATTCCTGGAAAGGAATTTCCAGAGCCATCATCCAAAAAACCAACCAAAAAGCAGAGTAATATTAAGCTTGTGAAAAAATCAATTCTTCCCCAGGAGAATGAAATAGATGATGAAGATGATATTTTCATAGTTGATAAGGAGACAGGAAAGGAAGAAAAAGTGAATTGTAAGCTGAAAGTTAAAAAGAAGCAAAGTGAAATTGGCTCCTTTTTTAGTCAGAAACCAAAAACTGAAGAGGAAGATTCGGACTAGTTCAACGTGTACTTTATTCATTGTAATAATATGCTAATGCTTCTAACATTATTCAAGTTGTCTGGTTCCCTCGGAACCTATGTGATTGCAGCTGATTTCAAGATATTCGATACATTCTTTTCTACCACTATCAAGAATAGTTAATTGTTTTAACTTGTAGGTCATTGTGAATATCATGTTACTCATTAAAATAAATTGTACTCAGCTAACTTGGAAAATTATATTGTTGAAATATTAGAAAGTTTGTATTAGTTACTATTACCGCATGGTTTTATTGAAGATTGTATTGAAATAATTTACAAATTTGTGGATTTGGGTTCGAAGAAAACCTATACAATTAATGGTAAAGGTTGGAAGATTAATTACAATTTGGGATTCAGTTGGTAAACTGAGAGATTCAGTGGACTGGAATTGCTTGTGGAGTTTTTTTGGACTTTCGTCTCCAGATAATGTTGTGAATTCTTCACTGTCCATTACACTTCTTATCAGTAATAAGAGTGATTGTGGATTGTGAGCTTTAGGTAAGACCCGTTGAGGTCGACTCACATGTTGTCGAGTCTCATGAGAATAGTTTCGAACTGTATTTGATTTCAACAAGTAACTATCACTTGTTGCTTCTCTTCTCCCATGTTTGGATGAGAAATATCTTGGTGTGCTATTATTCATTGTTGTTGATGAGTTTGTCATTGTCGATAACGAAGCTTCAGATGACATGGACGATGAACAACCACATTCAAAATTCACCATCTTTCTTCTCTGATTAATTTGACGTTGTCTCGCTATAGTATGATTAAAGAATTTAGAGCAGTTGCTATTATTCAAGCCACCACCACCACTCCATGACAAACTCCTGTGTAGTGTTGTTGTTACTGATGATGGATTCATCATGCTCAAAGGTGCTTCAAGAGAGCTTTGGAAAAGAGAGCAGAAATGAGATTTTTTCTCTTTTGCTTTGTAAAAGCGTGCGTTTGCTTGTTTTTTTTGATATTTTCGTTTTAAAAACTTAAAGAGACGTAATCTCCAGTCAATCTCAATTGGTTCATATGAGTATGTCTTTAGTGAAGGCCTAATTTGGAAGACCGCTAAACATGGAGCTTACTAGAAATGGATAAATTTGATTTTGAGGAAAGTGGCATTGGCTAAATAAAGAGCTATTGAAACAACTAGCAATACAAAATCCTTAATCGTTGACTCTCCGAATGCCTGAATATATAAGTTGTAGACACAGAACAAGGTTGAGGTGCGTTGTAAAGATCTTAATTAAGGGTGATGTAAAACCATTATTAATGTCAAGATCTAAATTAAGGGAGACACAGAACTAAGGAGATTGGCTCCATCTCAATTTGAGAGTGTTTTCATCTCAAAACGAAGACATGGATTGTTAAGGAAATTGTCTGACATTCATTTGGGCAAATAATAATACGGCTAATTGAGGTGTGAGTGCGTTCCAAGTCACTCGACCACATTTGTTGCTTTATTCGAACCCTTGTCAAGTAGAAGAAGCTTTGCATATTATACCTAACCTTGTTTGTTATTAGTACAAGCAATAGTTACTCACGATACATCCTATATTCGATTGACTATAGTAAATTCACATTTAATAAAACAATTTAAACTTGGTATTGAGGAGAAGTGAGGAAATATCGTTAAGGGAGGAATTGGTTTTCATGTCGTCAAAGTTTTGTGCAAAGGATGATCTATGAATGGAGGGAGAGGAGCTGGATGATTTGAAGAGAAATGATTCGTCCACAATGCCCTCTAGAGTGAACGAATCAGCATTACTCCCTATACTACTGTCATCATTAGTGCTGCTAACCAATCGTAATGTGTGAAAATTCTTTGGCAAAATCTTGTCATACTTTTTGAGCATTGGAATGATTTGAGTATCATTGGATTGATTTGTGGATCTCATGAGTTGGATTTGGGAGAGGAGAAAATGGACTTGCTCAATAACCATCTTTTCGAATTCGTTACAGGCAAGTGAGAGCTCAATCTCTTTTTGATTATCTGTTGATTTACTTTGGTGTTTGACTGAGGAGGATGCAAGCTCTCTAATATATTCATACATATTAAAATACAATCTCTGGGCTTGTTGTACAATATAGTCTAACAAGAGACCAACAGGTATGGTAATATCGACAACATCCTGTTCAATTCCAGTAGTGTTGGAGGAGGTTGAATCATCACTCATCTTGACATCCTCACTATTATTCACATCACCAGAAATGGTCTGTCTCATATCAAGCTTGAGATGAAACAGTAAGTATTGCATAATATTGTCCCGAATGAATTCAATCAGGTGTGATTGTGGAGACATTCTATTCTTCTTTACACCACCAGTAGCAGATGAAGCACTCGTAACCATATCTTCTTCCGATTCAAACAATGGAAATGCATTATGTTGTTGATGCTGCAAGGAAAATTGCATCAGACCACTATTCACATTGCCAAACATGTTGAATGATTGTGGAAAGAACATACTCGAATCATGATCCTCTCCATTATTATTATTACTCTCTTCCATCATATTGTCATGGAAATTGATGGTTGGAAGAATCATTGCCTCTCTCATCAAATCAATAGAATTATTGATGTTATTAGTAGAATGATCGTACTCAATCTCATCATTCTCGTACTCTTCATCGCATCGTTTTCTCTTCTTCTTGGATGATTCGGGTGAAAAGTTATTATTGTTGGATTGATAGAGTGGAGTTGATTTGAGTGAATTATCAGACAATGATCTCGAAATAGGGGCTATAGGATAGGTGGAGGAGAGGTGGTGTTGCAGTGAATTCATTGCTGATGAAGTACTAACAGAGGAAGAAGGATGATTGGAGGAAAGGAAAAAGTTTGATGATGAAGCTGGTTTGGAGGAGAACCACATATTGTTATTATTATTCATCATGATGGTAGAGGAGGATAAATAGTTATCAGAAAATTGTCTACTAGTCGATAATTGTTCATCTTGATGAGAGGAAGAAGTATACTTGAAGTTAGAGAGGAAGTTTGCGGAGGAGAAGAAAGAATCAATTCCATCACTTCCTTGTTGTGCCATATTGTTGTTGTTAAATGGAAACTTGTCTATTGAGAAGATAATCCTTTGAGAGATTCAAACGTTATCAAACAAACGCAACTCGCAGCGGCAGGGTGTTTTTGTTATTTTTTTTCTAGTTGATCCTCTTCAATCTTTTTTATTTTGCCTACACTGTGCGACTATTGTGTACTTGAATGAGCTAATTGAAAATCAACTATGGCTATGATTGAGTACAACAATGTATGTAGATAGTGTTGCTCTAGCGCATTGCCAGTTACTCTGGTAATGTTTATTCTTGAAGTTGAATTATTTATACATTACTTGCATCTTATCCTTTGCATTTGGTTTATCATGAAGATGATGCAATATCCATTATCAAGAACAATGTTAAGGATAATACTTGAGGTAAAACAGTACATGACTTTGTTTGGCAACCTGTTTCACGCTATACCCCCAACTCTGCAAAAACCTCAAGACACATCATTTTCTGAAGAGATAAGCAAAGACTTTAAATAGACCCCAAAGATCCTTTGAGCACAATATTGACATTCTCAGAGAAGCACATTTTAGATTGAGATAACAATGACCGATATCAAGAATAATGTTTGAAATTACATGTTTCGATTGAATGGAAAATATTCAGCAACATTGTTTGACTAAACCTTATTATAATAAAGCAGTAGAATTGAAAAGAACAATTCATGTCCAAATTGTTACCACCTTCCATCGTTCACTATTAAGCAAGACATTTTATATTTCATAGAATCAATCTTTAAATATTCCAAACGTGATGAATTTCCAATTCAATCTTTCAACCCAAAAAAAGATAAATCTCCGAACCTGCACTTAGTAAAATCTACAACTAACAGAAAAAAATGGGCAATTCAAATAATAAGAATAATCCTTTCAGTGGAAAGGCATCCTCATCATATAACTGGTACGAATCGGAACAAGTGAGTGGCTGCTTTCTTTCTCATTCCTATGAATATTCAATATCGAGTGGTTTTTTAATGAATGGAAAGGGAAATAACAAACGTGAATCACCCTCATCATCACCCTCTTCGGAAGAGAATAAACTCCCTACAAAATACAAACTCTGCATTGAAGGAAAGTTTCCAGTGTGGTCATTCTATGTCAATGAAGAAAGAACCATGATGTTTGAATGTTTGGAAAATGATAAGAAGGAAGTCAATCATCCTGATGATCATGTTTTTGATTTAAACAAGGAAGGAAGAGCTGACTTGTTGGCAGAATTTCACCTTCTCGCAAAGATTGTCCAATTAGTCACTGATAATCAATTTGGATTAATGTTTTCGAATGCTCATCATTTTTCTATTGTCCTCATCAAGCAGCAACCATCAAGTACTTCATTCGGTGGTGAGGAAATAGCCTCATTCAATAGACAAGATGATCGACAATTGGGAGCCAGTAGTTTCCATGGCTCGTATGGAGAGAAAACCATGCATGAATCAGAGGTATTCTGTAGTGATTTAGATAGAGTCTATTTGAATTTTGTAATGAGAAAGGTTGAGGAAATTATCAAAGATCAACAACATTCTAAGGCGCCAAAAACAAATTGAAAAAAAATGGCAAACAAGAAGCAGCAATCAAGTGATAAACAACCAAGAAAGAAGAGAAAGGCTGATAATGGTGAGTTGATCAATTTGAATGTGCTGGCTAATGGTAGTAAAGAGGAGGAGAAAGGCTATTTGGATATGCCAAAATTGATTAGAAATTCAAAAGTTTGGAATTTTGAAAGCCTTGTTTCGAATTCAAAAGGATTGTTCAAGGAGAGTGAAAATGAAAGAGTGGGTGATTATTCATCCTTATTCAAGTCTGTGGATAGTTTGATTGTAGAGAATCCAATTTCAAGTGAAGGCTTGTTAAGTCTTTTGAATGATTTTCCGATGAAAATTAAAAATCAATTTCATAGTATTGTTGATGGTATGTTTCGAATAATTATTCATGTATTGTGATCATGTAATTTTAATGATAGCTTTCCCGATGTTGGATAGTAGAATTTTCAACAGTATTGTTTTAGCCTTTGATTCATTGAGTAGTGACACTTTATGTCAAATAGTGAGGGTTGTAGAATATGGATGTCATTCAATTAGTGAGGCTATTTCATTGAATGAGGGTGAGGCATCATCACGTAACCCTGATGGAGCTTTATTGATGAGAATATTCAATAGACATTTCTTAATTCTAGTTGCTTCACTCTTCAAGCTGTCACAAAACAGAAAATTGAAGGGAGGTAGCTTGGAAAAGATACTCGGTTCTATTGATTCTTATACTTCACTTCTTTATGAGAATGCAAAAAGAAAGCAAATGAGAATGGAAATCTTGATTGAATTGGTGCACTATTCCCTACCAAAGCTCCTATTGGCATTTTCAAATGGAGGAAAAAAGTCTAGTACAAGCTTGTGGAGTGCGTTCCAAGTGTTGCTTCTATTACCGTTCAAGATTATCAATGATGAAGAGGATTTAAGAAAATATCACCTGAGATTTTGCGCATTTATTTCCAAGTTGTGCATAGAAGGAATAATTGAGCCACAAAATATGTGCTCAATACTTGTTGATATACATAATCATAACGAAGAATTCTCCTTCGTCTTTTTGGATTATTTCATTCAACTTGTACAGAATATGGTAGAGTTGACCAATAAGAAGAGCAAAGATGTATCAAAGGCTGTAGAGCTGTTGTCAATCCTTTCAAAGAAAATTCCAAAAGTATTCGTAATGTACATTTCTGATCTGGATTTCATTTCCAATTCCTCAAATGGTTCAATTAGAAAATACTTTTTGGAAGTAATTTCCAACTTGATAGAGGCAAACATACTCAATAAGGATTTCTTGAATATTGTACTTCAAAGAACAAACGATAAGGACGCCTTTGTTAGAACAAGAGCATTCCAGAAAATTGCAGATATTTCGGGTCAGGTTGATTGGAATAATTATGCTGTTGAGTTTAACAAATTCTTGGTAAGTTACATTTCAAATATGATTATTAAGGTAATTAGAATAATTGCCTTGACCACATCTCTGACAAGTCAAAGACAACAAGAGTACAGAGTATTAATGCTTCATTTGGTCTAATACAAAGAAATCCCTACACCAGAGCTTTTGATTTATTATTGTGTAGAGACAACTTTGAAAAAAGCGTCGAATTGTTGGATTTATATCAATTATACAAGAATAATGTGATTGAGAAATTAGGTCAATCCTTATATGATAACACCATGTTATTTTTGGAACAACAACCAAAGAATATGGTACCATTCATTGATGAAACATTCGAAAGCCTTAGTAGAAGATTACAACAAAGTTCGCATGTTAAAGTGAGATTTTCATCCACAAAAAGTGAGTGTATTCTGTTCCAACATGAATCAAATGACTTGGATGATGACATTTCTTGTAAGAGAATGCACGTAGAATTTCTCGAAAAAGTCTACTACAAATTCATTCCCAAATTGCTCAACACTTTGAGAGCTTTATCACTTGAAGGCCCTCTATTTTGCAAAGAATCCATACTATCAGTGTTCAACTTGTTTGACAAACTGACCATTCAAGGTTTGAAGATTGACTGGTCAGAACTTGTATCCTGTATTGGAAAGGATACACACTCATCTGTTAAGCAGAGAATATGCAATCTGTTTGTTTCCTATTTTGTAGATCCTCAATCCAAGTTCAAGTTCGGTTTATTGTTGCAATCAATCACGTAAGTTATAGTGCTTTTTCATCAATGTAACCTGTAAAAGAAATACTGAATTAATCGATCCATGGCTGATTTTATTCAGTGGAATCAAGACTTACTTCCCTAACTTGAGTTTGAGATCTCTGGTTGAGTATTGTAGGGAGAAGCTAGATTTAACAACAGCAATATTCACCATGTTGTTGTTGCTCAAGTTAGACTCTAGTTTTTTGGTATTCATTCCTTTTGAAAACATTCTTCAAAACCTTAAAGATTTGATTTCCAACATTGAAGGTAATCGAAAGCTAATCTCATTGAAAATAAGAATTATAGAGGAGGTATATAGAATAAGCAATAATCAACCCTTCAAAAAGTCTGTGGACAACTTTTTGGAAGAAAACATTGCGTTCCTACTACTAGAATTTGGTCGTGAGACCCTTTCCTTGGTATACTCTACAGAGAGTAATAGAAGATTGGCCTACTATGGAATTGGAAAAGTGGAGAGCTCAGTTTGGAAGGATTTTACTGAAAAACAAGAAACTGATCTCGAAAAGATGAGTGCATTCTTTGATTTAGTTGGAGAGATTTGTTATAGGGATAGTTTGGAAATTAGGTCTATTGCTACTAGGAAATTCAACGAGAATAGTGACAAGCTGATATCAGAGGAGGATGATTTTGAAGGTGAGGAGGAAAACTGCATGAAGGAAAATCAAAGAGAACAAGCCAAAGGACTTGTTTTAGAAAGGGCTGTTACTGAAAGCTTAACCAAGGGATTTCTTTCTAGATATGTCAATCTACTAAGGAACTGTATGCAATCAAGAAAGGCACCAAAATCATTGAAAAGTCATGCTGTAGCTGCAATTGGTAAGATTATGATCGTTTCCAAAACACTGGCTTCAGAATTTTATCCACTCGTAATCAGTTGTCTTAAAGTCTTTACCAGTGATGGTGCTCCACTCATTATGAGTTGTTTGATTGTATTGGCTGATTCATTCGCAACCCTGGCAACCGAATCTGAAGAGAATAGTGGTCTTCTTTTGAAATACATTAGACACGAGAATGAAGAAATATCAACTCTCTCACGTAAATTGGCACAAGACCTATTCGACAGAAAACGATGCAAAGCCAGCATCCAACCTGGTAATTCTCTCGAAGCAGCAAACCAAGACAAAAAAAATGGAACAATCAAACATAACTGATGAAATGATTACCGATGATGAAGTCTTGCCACAAATACGATCGGAAGCAAATACAATCGTCCTGAGTTATTTGTATAATAATTTTCGAGAACATGGCGATTTGATTGCAAAATTTGTGCAAGCCATTGGTGACCAATATAATCGTGATGATGTAATAGTAAAGATTCAGGAGATTTTTACAAACCTATCACAATTAAAAGACTCTGTGATGAGTACATCTTTCATCGATCAAGTGAATGCTTTAATAACTAAATTACAGGAAATAATTTCTGGACTTTCGGAAGAAGGATTTAAATCAGTAGCCCAATTATCAAGTTTCGGAAAGGAGAGGTTTGAGAAGAAACTTGCATCATGGAAGAGGAAAATTAACAAAGCAGAACCAAATGAAAGGAAGGATGCTTTATCTGGCTTGTTGATTAATGTGGAAAAATTGATATTCTGCATTCCTGATAAATTACTAAATCTCGTAAATAATTCCAAGCATGAAGAAGTTAATGGTGTACAACATAAAATAGATACTGATTTACCAGAATTGGGAGCAGGTGCCTCCTCTCCATCACAACTGCCTTCAGAGATTCATCCACTCGAAAATCATCAAGAGAGTTTCATTTCACATAGTGATTCCATTCTACAATCTATTCACAATCAAGAGGACACCCAAAGCACTACCTCATCAACTCAATCAAAGAACGGTAAAAAACGATTAAGGCAAACAAAACTCTTTGATTTAACTCCAAACAAGGACAAACAAAGAATTTCTACTGGACTAAGTGATGATAATGCTAAAATGAAGCAAGAATTTGAACCTGATTGCACTTTGCAAGGACTGAACAAATATAGAAAAACTTCAGAATATTATACAGAAAATAAGTATACAAATTTCATTACTGATAGAGTAAATGGTATTACAACATGTGTAGAAACAAGTGAAGAAGAGAGGAGGAAGAGGAAGGAGGCTCGTTATTTGTCAAGTTAGAAAAGACAGAAAAGAGAAAATCTAGTCGAAGAAAAAGTAGGAATAGTACTGTTCTCTCTGACTCTGCAGCTAGGTCAATATTGTCTTCCCCTACCAAAAAGTCTAGCTCAAGATTTTGGTCTGAACAAGAGATGGACAAGTTAGAGGAAGGATACAGACGATTCAGTGATAATTGGACTAAGATATTGAAAGTTTATTCTACAACCTTTCACACATGTAGAACGCCTGCAGCTTTGAAGGATAAGTTTTTGAGAACTCTTGCTCCAAAATTCAAGAGAGAAGAGGAAGAGTCCTATGAGGATTCTGAGGATTCAGAGGATTCTGCTGATTCTGCTGATTCTAATGATTCTGATGATTCTGATGATTAATCTGATTATTTTGCCACGAGTGGATTGAGATCTCTAAGGAATTTACATTTTAGATTATTGTTGTAAATTACAAACTAGAAGGGTTCACCCAAGGCAATTTTGAAATCTAAATTGTACAAATACAACCTTTAAATCATTTAATTTGTTTGAATACTTTGATTTTATTTACTCTCACTTTGAGATAATTTTGCATTCTTGTAGAATTCATTCGCGTAATACTTGTTGAATGTTTCAGAAATTTGTAAACCTTGTTCAACAATGACTCGTAATAGCTCAGTAACGATGGTACTACCATCGAGTTCGGAAGGAAGAGCGAAAAAGCTATTACTAGTTAATTTTGGTGTTGTTGCAATTCGATGAACTGTCTTGACAGAATCTGTACTTTGATTATTATTTTCATCTTCAATACTGCCATCCTCTGTAACAGTATGAATAGAGTGATTATCATCGAATATATTATTATTTTGAACAGGATTAACTGGAGTGATAAGAGGACTGAAAGGTCCAGTCAACACTGTAGAACTCGTAACAATAGAATATGCCGGAGAATAGTCATGTTCATTAGTGTCATTTCTATATTGTTGTAGGGCATTTTCAGTAAGAATAGACCCTTCCACTTGTTCAACTACACTATCATCGTCACTCTCTTCTCCATCTGATTCAATATCTTCATAGAGAGAAGACATGCCTTTCTTTACAATTGGCGAGCTTTGAACAATTTGAATTTCAGGAACTTGTCTAAATGATTTTGAAGCTTTGGAAAATTTGAGAGACATTCTATCGTAATGTGCACTTATTTCAGTAGTGGCATTATGTAATTCTAACAGAGTTGTGGCCTTACTGAAGGAAAAGTATTCTCTATTAAAACTATTATATATAGCAGTTAATCGCTCGTGAAATATCTTGTTGATTTTGTAATGTTCAAGATAAAGTGATTGTATTGACATTTCATCATCAACACTATTCCCATTTTCATCTATTATCGTCCAAGATTCCTTTAATTCTCTAGTAATTTTACTTTTAAGAGTTTCATATTCTTTAAGAATATAATTTTGTAATACATTTAATGCTTGAATAGTATCCAAATCAGTAGTAAAGGTTGATGAATTGATTTCCTCCTCTGCTGATGAAGAGTGTCTCGAGGAGTGTAGTTGACTTTCGTAGAGACTTTGTTGTTCCATTTGTTTTCTTTCTCTCCTCAAATCTTCAATCATATTTTGAAACTCTCTATTACTACTCACATCAGATGATGTATCACTATGTTCATCATTGACAAACAAGTATGGATTCGTATCGTGATTTAATGGTTTAAATAATTTAACCGTTACACTATCTTGTGTTTCCATGATTTACAAATTATTTACAAATTATATTATATTACTATTATTACTGTTAGCTTCTTTAGATTGTATGTACACTATTTAGCAAGAGAGAGTTTGTTGTTGTTAGAATTTGATGAAAGCCTTCGGAACTTTGAAAAGCTGGCTTTTTTTAAATTTGTCAAATTCAACAAAGAATAGCCAATGTATTATTGTATTACTATAAGTATGATGAGAAATTAAACCTATTAATAAAAAAGCGCACTGCTGTTCTCAAGAGAAGAAGAAATTTTCAAGCTCGTTGGCAACACTTGTTTTCCGACCACGTGCGCGCTATTTTTATAACAGAGTTTGTATTTTCCTTTTTTTTGTGTTGTTTTTAAAAATGCCTCCATTGCCATTTACAACCTGAAAGAAGAGTTTTTAAGCTTTGTTGGTTTTTTATATTCTTAAGGCTGAGAAGGAATTAATAGTACAAGTGTTGGGAAAGGAGAAATTATATTAATGGGTCATGATGAGTGTATAGAAAATATTTGTGGGAATGTCTCTTTTTTCCGATAGAAATATTAATAGATGATGATAGAAATTTTGTTGTATAGAAAAAACTGTAAGCAGATCGTGAGCAATAACCTTAGAAAACACTTGTTTGTGGAATAATTGGTTTAATATTCTATTCGAAATATTTCTCAAAGATGAGTGAACAGAAAATTAGCTCCACAACTCATTATCAATGTAAACACTCAATGTTAATAGTTTCACCATCTTGACTTTGTAAACTCAATAGTCCAGACAATCAGCCAAAAAAATGAGAACAAAAAACACAAGGAGCAAGAAGGCAAGAAAAACTTCTTCATCTGCTGATGCTGCCTCTTCTTCTAGGAGAAGTAGTACAACAACTCCTTCTTCAACAACAACAACATCATTAAATGTAAAATCGGGAGAAAAAACAAAAATCAAATCGGAGAAGGTTTCTCGAGAACATCTAGTCACCGATACAGTCATTGTTAAATATCGTGAAAATTATTATTTTAATTCCTTTTTCTCTAGGCTTTCTGTTGGTGAGAAGGCACACATGATTAAGAGTTTGAAGAGAACTCCGATCTTTGTGCGAGTGGAAGGAGCTGGCACTGAGGATTACTTGAAGAATGTCACGAATTATATGAGACAATTTAAACAGGCTTTTTATCCGTGCCATTTGAAACCATCAACACTTTTATTTTCTTTCAAAGTCATTGCTGAGGAGAGAGCAAGTGATATTGAAAAGGAATTTTTGGATGGTAAAGAATTTGTGAACAAGGCCAAACAAGGAACTGTGGACCCAACAGAATTTAGAGCCATTATTGATTTGGATTTTAAGGAAATAATTTGGAGGGACGAACATGAGATATCACTCACCTTAATTACTCAACCTATTTCAGAAATATCTGATCTTAGTAATGAACAAGCTGTAACTTATGATATAATTAGTGAAAGTGGAGAATCAGTTACGAGTGAAACAATATTCGACCGAGTTGAGATTATTAATGAGGAAGAGGATAAGGATGAAGTAGATATTGATGAAATAGATTTTGATGAGGAGTTTGAATTGGATTTGATGGAAGAGCAAGCCGAAAATAATTTAATTTTGGAGGGACAACACGAGTTTATCACCAAATTGTTTAATATTGAAATGATGGAAAAGAGTAGCACTTCAAGACCAGAGTTTGATCCTAAGTTTTACCCAAAATCACATCAAATATTTAAAGCTATAGAGGAAGGTGTAAAAATATTTGTGGGTTCAGCTTCTGAGTTGACTGCCACTGCTCTTACCTCCTGTCTCAATTATCTATACGATCAGAGTAAGGATATTTATCAATGTAAAGATTTTCAACTATTTGAAGCTAGCTCTCTACAGATTTATATGGTTCATTGTTTAAAAATTGTTAGATCTGAATGCTTTGCTAGAAATTATCATCCCACTAGATTGGAACATGAAAAATTCAAAAGGATAGCTCTAGCCAATATGAAAGGAGCAATAACTTGTTCCAAATTGATGGTAGCATCCTCATTGAATTATTTTTTCACAGACAATGATTCTACATCTACAAATGATATCATTAATCAAAACATTTCCTCTTCATCATCATCAACAACACATAACAATGTCAACATGGAACAATTATTAGGAAAATGGTTGAAATTATCTGGAAATTGAGGATTTTATTGAATTTGAGGAGCTACCCAAAATATGACAGTAACCAAAAATGAGAACCACAGCACTACAAAGGCCAGCAACTTTTTCCAAGCCGATCCCTCGGAAAGATCTCTCACACCCAACAGACGCATGGCAAATCTCAACAAAACCAACTTGAGTAAGAGATTTAACAACCAGTGAACATTATCTGGATATACAATCATGTTCCAATCTCCAATGTGTTCAAATCCCAATTGCTTGTACAAATTGAATGCTGCCTTTGAAGATTGCAAGGTACAATATTTCAAATTGAGTTCTTCCTGTCCTATTTCAAAAACTGCATGATAGGACAATAATCGAGCAGAACCCATCCTTCTAATAGCTGGATCCTTTACAGTACCAACATTGTAGAGCCCACACACACTCTTCTCCTTTTCTACGAAGAGTGTGGCTACACTAATCATTTTTGGTTTAGATTCTGGAGTTTCTCTATAGAGTACATAGAACATTCTAAGAGATTCTTCTGGTCCAAAACGAGCATGTCTGAACACCTCATAGAAATGATTTGCAGTTGTCTCTTTAGAATAGAATCCAAATGAAGAAACCAAAGTATAACACCATAATCTCAACATGATATTATCAGGGTGTTCATCGTCATATCTGTGTATCCAATTCACTTGTTTCAATTCACCAATTTCCAACTTTTCAGAATTGGATTTCAGTGCATCTTTGGCTTTCTGTTTATCAAATGTAGAGTAATTCAAAATCATTCCTGGTCCAGTACCAGATGGTATGAACCCCTTATTAATTAACTTATCCATTATCTGAGAGGTGTTTTTAGCGTTTGTTGGAACACTGCAAATTATTGGAACTTTGAGTTGGGCTGATTTTTCAAAACATCCATTCAATTCTTCATCCAATTTGTTAGCATCATTAAGGTCTGGATTAATATGGATTTGATTATAGAAAGTCATGACTTGTCCTTCTTCAGTTTCTGGATTTTTTGCCAATAGCATGAAATGTGTGTCTGGTTTGTTTTCTACAACAAGATACGGATTTTCAATATATCGGAGAGTTTCATCAATTTCCTCTTCATTCATTGACTCCTTTTCAGAGGAATTAGTAGATTCCTTCTTGGCTTGTTGATGTTTATTGGAGAGTGCCAAATGCTCATAGTAAGCATTCTTATTCTGCCATATCAAATCGAATAATGGAGAGGAAGTGCTGTTGTCTAGACTGCTAATGTTGTGCATTTTGTTTTTTGGGTTTTTTCTAAATCGATGGATGTTGCAATTAACAAATTGAGAATTTTATTATCCGCTCCATTTGAATTTGATATTGAATTTAATGCATGCGCAGCCAAGAAATTGAACGCAAAATAGATCAAGATAGAAGGGCCAATCTTCAAACTAATCACAACAACACACGTGTCAACAGTAGCACAAATATTGCGTACGAATTATTTCTCAATGGAAATCAAATTGCTGAACGGAATTATTTTAAATTTATAATTTTAAATTGAAAAAGAACCCAATAGTAATGATCATTTCAATATTTCAATTTATCCTTATCATTTCAACAAGCAGTTCTGTTTGTCTTGCAATACTTAACTGAGCTGTAAAACATGATTTTGAATTCAATTAAAAAAATTTAATTTTAAAAAAATCGAAAAAAATTTCGGTTACATCATCACTTGCTGCTATTTGTTTTTCTGTTTTTAATTTTCATCATCATCAACAATAAGAAATGGCTCAAAGTGTTTGGGATTTGTTCTCGGATGACGAAGTTTTTGAATCGTTGGATACCATTCTCGATAATCCATCAACAACCTTGGAAGAAATTTTAGATCAAGAAACCTTGCTTCAAGAAGTCAAATCCTTGAATCCAAAGTTGATTTCCTTCCTCACCAATTCCAAGAATTTACGTAAATTAATTGATTATATTTCTGTGGAGGAGTACTTTGAAGATGATATTTTGAATAAGAAGAATCAACCAAAAACAGCTTCAAACTTTTTTGATGACGATTTTGGTTCATGGGATGATCAATCATCAGCTACAACAGAAAATACTTCATCGGATTCCATTAGAAAACAAGCCAAACAAGAAGAAGAAAAGATGAAGCAAGAATATTTGGCAAATCTTCCAATGAAAGATAAATTAGAAGAATTGGAAAATAGACCAGAACTCAAGGCTATCTTCCAACATCCATATGTTGTTGCTGAAATTTTCGGTTGTTTTATTGATGGTATTAATAGTGCTCTTATTAGCAAGAGTGAAGATGAAAATTATCAAGTTTATGGAGAACGATTTTTGGATTTGCTTCTCATCAAGTATCTTCTCACAAGAAAGCCATACTTTATCCCAAAGAATAGAAGTCTTTCAACATACTGGATCAAGGCCATGTTGGTCATTTTGGAAAAACCAGACAAGTATTATATTGATGTTGTGAAAAGAATGTGTGAAATTATTGATGAAAAGGCTCTTCCAGTTAGTTTGACTGTTGATGAATCGCTTACTGCAACTTCCGAGGCTCTCTTTGAAAACTTATTTATTAGAAATATTGGTTTGTGTGACTTTGATACCTTCTTCTTGAAGTTTATTGGAATGGAATCTATGATTTTCCAAACTCAAACTCAACTCATTCAATTGTTGAGCGGGTTCTCTTCATTCTCTGACTCTTACTCCTTCTCTGTCAATTCAAATTCATCATTTGGTAATGAAAGTGAAGAGGAAAATAGTGAAGAAATGAAAACATACAAGGCAGTTCAAGAATGGACATTCTCTAAATATGCTATGCTTGATAGATTGCTCAACAAGCTTGAAAGTTATACTACACAAGTTTTCGATGAAGATTTGAACATTGAAATTGAAGATGAACAAAAGAATATCTTTTCTCTCTTGACTCAATTGATTGAAAAATCACTCACAAAGAGACCAAGCTATACTTTGCCAGCTATTCAATCTATTTTATCAACAACCAATATTGAAAGACTTTGGGATATTATTTTAAAGTGTGACCAAACCAATGAGGTTCAAAGATCACTTTTCATTTTGGGAATTGAATTTATGAAGAATCTCTTGACTCAAATTGTTTCTGCCATTTCTGCCATTTCCATGCTTACTACTCTTGACTATGCCACATTATCTGCAACTGATATCAAAGTTATCGAACTTGGTGTTGAAGCTTTAAAGTCATTGACTTCATCATCTCTTCTTGAAAAGTTGACTGCCATTCTCAATGTAGCTCCAAAACAACAAGTTATACAAGTTCTTCAATGTGGTGTTGAATTGAAGGAAACCCTTGGTGAAGTTCGTTTGATTACTATTGACTATATTGTTACCATTCACTCACAATTAATAAGTCTCCAAAAGAGTTTGGTCAACCTCCAATATTCAAAGAATGAAAAGGAACAATCTGTTCAAAAGGTTATTTCTTCAATTATTGCATCATTGAAGGAAACCTCCTCCACTGCAATTATTGTAGACCTTTCCTTCAAGTTTGATTTCAACTCACTTTTACACAAGCAACTTTACAATTTGGTTGCAGCTGTTTGTGGTTTATCAATTTCCGAGGGATCTGTTGTTGATTTAAAGACCAAATTATTGGTGCAAGATATTCAATTATGTAAACGTATCGTTGAAAAGTGTAAGACTATTAAATCCGCTGATAGTCAATCATGGAAAGGAACTGTTGGTATGGGATACTTGTTAGATATGGTTGAACTGATCCAAAATAAGGTTGCCTCAACTGGAGCTACATCTAACGAGTCACTAATTAACACATTTGCCTCATTAGATTTCTGGAAGAATTTCCATGATGTATTTTTGAAGGAACACAATGCTCATAAGGGTCAATTGGGTGGTTCTGCTCCAATCGGAAAGTCAAATCCAAACAGTTGGCACATTGCTGGAGATTCCAATCACTCTCACTTGACTGGTGTTCACGTCGATGAAGAAGACAATTATTAAAGAAGAAAATATTTTCTCTATTGATTATTGAACTCTTATTGGAAATTATAATTTACTCTATTTACAATTATGTTGACTTTTGATAAAACAGAATTTTCAGTTGAATTTGGAAAATAATTAAAACGTTAAGCAACAACACCAAACAATCAAACCAACAAACATCATCAATGAAGAAGACATTGTCGGAACAGCAACAACACCACTAGTAGCTCCAGTATTACACAAATCACTCACAGCACAACATGCAACATCAAAATAGGGAGAACCTTTACTCTTGGTAGCAGAGCATTCACTGCTGCTCATCTCTCCGAACACATTCAAGACTCCATTCATGGCCACCTTATAACTATAACACACATTACCAGAGGCACTAATTGAAACCTGAGTCAGATTATTCTGCAAAGTAATCGGAGTGATACTACCAGTGAAACTGCCACTATAACACTTCAAGGCATTGGAAGAGTGAATTAATAAGAACATGGTGGCAATAATAATAATGGCAATCACAAAAGAGGAAGTAGCAACACCACCACTTGGGGTATAAGATCGTGCGTGGAGTGTCATGGTGGTGGTTATGGTTGTGACAATTTTTTCTGAACTGGAATTGGAAAAGAAACGATTTGTTCTATGTTTCCGTCCAGTATGCAACAATGTTCAAAAATGATCTCAATAATTGCTAATATATGAGCTGCTATTTATTGTAAACTATATCAAAAATTACAAAAAATTGAAAAGAAAAGATGGTGAACTTTTCCTTAGAGAAAAAAATGGGAGCACAACAATCACATCCGATACCAAATAATCATCATCATCAGCAGCAACAACTGCCTTCGGATGCAACCAATCAACAACAACCCATTAGGAGAAAAATAGGTGAGGGCTGCTCACTTTTTGGAACAGCCAATAGTGGAAAATCAACATTGTATTATTTGGCAAAACATATTTTGAGGAAGGAATGGTTTTATTCGAGTAAAATAGAGTTTGAGCATGATTTGCAGTATGCTTGTTGTTCAATGATGGGAAAATTGTGGAGTATTTTGGAAGAAAGTGAAAGAAAGCAAATGAAAGGGTTGATTTTAGAGAGATTTGAATCGACTTTGGATAAAATTGAGGAAATTATCAGGATAAAAGATTGGGATTTATTCGATTCCTTTCCACAAGTTTCTAATTTTGATTTTTGTGAATTATTAATCCATGTTTGGAAAATTCCAAATATGCGAGAATTATACGAAATTAGATGGAATGAAATAAGTTTAAATATTTCACAATATTGCAATGAACACAAAAATAGCATCAATTTACATTCAAGACTGAACCTTCAAATGCTGGAAAATTTACCAGAATTCTTGGAAAATATTGAAAATCCAAACGAAAGCTTTCTTCCTTTGACGTGGTGTTATGAATGTACAAATTCAAGCAAACAATTTGAATTCAGGTATGGCTATTTCAGGGATGTGGGAGGGGCTAGAACTGAAAGAAGAACATGGATGCAGTCTTTGGCTTCCATGCCAGAAACAATCTTTTTGGTGATCTCACTTTCAGAGATAGATCAATATCTAGCTGAAGATGATTCGCAAACTTTGAGAATTCAAGATACCAAAAGGATGTTTAAATTTATGAACAGTATTCCAGAATTAATGGACACAAGAAAAATAGTACTCTTCACCAAACCAGATATTCTAATTAAGAAATTACAGAAAGGAGTTACAGTCAATTTGGGAAATTCATTTCAAAATGAGACCTGAATTTGAAGTTATTTCTGATTCACATATCAGAAATTCTGTCAATTCAATCGTTTCATATTATTTGGATTTTGATTATCCAAAGATTCATTCATCATATTATCAACACAACAGAATTGGAAGAAGTGAAATGTGTACTGGGGAGAGTGTTTGATGAGGAGGAAGAGAATTCTCCAGTACGAATACCATTCATTTCGCCCTCTCTCTTACTTGGGAGGATAGTGAAGAAAACAGAAAGAGAAATGAGAGTAAGATTACTACAATATTTGACAGAAGGAAATTTGACTGATTTGAACATTGTATCCTAATTTTGGTATCAAGAGGAATGTACTATGTTTCAGATTGGAATTATTTCCAGAAAGAAATTAAGGAACGTCTAGTCCAAACCTCCAATAAGAAATTCGAGTCTTTTGCTCGTTACGGAATTTGTACATGGTGTCATTTATGAGAATTTACACAGATTACAAACATATCCGGTTGGTAAATCCAAAGTGAAAGGAAACGTCCATACAATCAAACCATTTATATATTGCAGAATCCTCTTTTTCAAATATTATCCATTATTAAAGATGAGAATGAAGAATGGCATATTAGTGAGGATGTTGAAGAAGCGGATTTTGAAGATATTGAGGATTTGGAGGAAGACCAAGATGAATAGATTTCTCAATATCATATTCTTATAATAAAATTATTGTAATAATTTAATCCTCTAGATTATTCCTCAATTTTCAACTTTTTCTTATTGGGTTCCAAACTTGAGGTAAGTAATGAGGTCAGCTCGATTTTGTTGGCTTTGACTTCTTCCAATGCTTTTGCTTGCATGGCTTTAGATTGAGTATTCTTTGTAATATGCAAGATGTAAGGCGGTCTATTTGTCTTTTCTGTATTATAGAGACATTCTCTAGTGACTGCCACAATATTATCTGTAACGTGCTTTCTGAGTTTTTCATTTTCCTGAAGTTTGTATTCAGTTACGTGAGGATTCTTCAAAAATTGTGTGGCCATCTGACAATAATCACAAGTACATTTCAGAGTTACATCAATTGTCCAATTTGAAGGTGGAGGTGTTAATTTAGAAGGTTTATCAATAACCTTGTCATAGTATGAGATACATTTGGATATTAATTTTTGTATTGGCTCACTGTTGATGATAGCATCCACTCCTTTAACTTTTGTAATTAGAGGACAAATTATTACATGATAATTTTTTCTATTTTCCTTAGAAGGTGTAATTCCTTTTACGAAAGCTTTCATAAATCCAACATCTCTTGTTTCAAATCCTTGTAAAATTCCAACCAGTTCATCCACCTTGTCACTTGTGACTTTTTTAGAGATTCCAGAGCATAATTGCTCTATCATGAACATGATTACATGCTCATTGGTTGGGTGGCCGATAAACATTTTGAGAATTCTTATTAGTACAGAGTCGAAAACATTCGCACAATATTCAGCTATTAACTCCTTCAAAAAATTGGAGCAATTGTCGAGTCCAAGATATTGAATGCAATCCACCACCATGCTAACATTCATATCAAAATCATTCAATTTGTTTCTTGCATAATGTGGTACATTATCTTTAGCAGGACGGAAATACTTCTCCAACACTGCGTTGAAACAGTTCTTGTCCTTCAACCTTTTAGCCATTTCAAATAGATCTTGCACATCCCCATACCAATTCGATAACATTTTCTTTCTGACCTCTTCACTCAAATTCCTGTTATATTTTTGGCAGAGTAAAACAATACTTTCATAGCTTGAGGCCCCTCCTTTTACACTAAAAAAAGAAATGACCTTCTCTGCCATCTCCTCATCCTCAATTTCTTGTAAGAATCCATAGGCAAGATTGGCTTTGCATTTTACCAAAAGATCCATTACCCTCTCTCTATATGTTTCCAACCCAAATGCTTTTATCAATGCAACTAAACTCTCAGCATCCAAGTTATTGCCACTCGAGGAAACTCTCAGTAAATCTTTGGCTAGTTCGGTATTATTCAATTTAATGACATACTTGGTCACCAGGGTTTTTTTAAAATATTTGTTTCGCAAAAACCTTGTAACAAAATCTGTAACTGTATCCAAAAGAGATGGATCTTGCTCGTACCTTGTCCACATATTTTCAAGTTCTTTCAAAGATTCTGTTTCTCCAATCTCCAGTGCCAATAAATGTTTGAAACGATTTGGACTAACCCTATTCCACTTTACATCCTCATCTTCATGATATTTCGTATAAGGCACCGAAATGAACTCGAGATTACAACAATTTTTTGAACCATCCTCATTGGTTTCACCTCAAGGGTATCAACTGCCTTTTTCTCAACATGGCCACCAAGCCACATCTGTCCATTTTAGAAAGACCTTCAAAACTTCAAGCACAACTCAAAAATTCATCATCAATTTTACTCTTTTCAAACTTTTTAAATTTCAAAAGAAAAAAACAAGCGCCAAAGCTTTCTAGCCACAACTCTACAAAATTCCCGCCCAGTGATTTGTTGTTTTTCCTTGGTAGTACAATAAGGAAGAATTATTAATAACAAAGAATCAAGAATAAGCTGCAAGACAATAAGAAGAAAACATCAAAATTAGAAACTGTGGCCAATAGAGGAAACTACGAGAGCCCAACCCAACACAGCAACAATCATTAGAATTAATCATCAGAGTAGTACGATTAATTGTTGCTCTGTCCCGATAGATATTAATAATATAAGAAAAAACACCTCAAAGAACTTCCAGTAACCAACTCAATTTTCAATAATGGAAGAGAGTAGACTTTCAACTACGGAAGATGATTCAATGGTGGAGGCAACTTCACCTGAGAGTCCTTCTTCATCAGCATCATCGTCGCTTGCTAATCATCAACATGATGAAGAGGAAACATTGAATAATAATTCTTCTCCGAATACTTCAAAATCATCATCAAACAATAATAGAAATAGTGTTTCACTTCCTCTATTACATATTGCCTCTCCTAATGCACCTCTCAATCTTATCTATTCTTGTGGCAAAAACAAGTATGGAATATTGGGTCAATTGGATGATTATTCGGAAAAGCCAGTTCCAACTGTAACACCAATTAGCAAGAATTCATCTCATCATACAATTGAAAATCCTTCTTTTGCTCCGATTATGATTAAACAAGTGGAAGCAGGTGCATATCATTTGGCAATATTAACAGAATTTGGAGAAGTTTATGTGAGTGGATATAATTCGTTCAAGGGAGCAATGAAAACAAATCAATCTGGATTGTCACAAATGCATAAATTACATTTTGATAAGAAGGTGAAGGCAATATCGAGTGGATGGTTTCATTTGATGTTGTTAACGAATGAAGGAGAGTTGTACAGCAGTGGTAAGTCATAAAATATCTAAATATGGAAACTGATAATTATTATTGGAAACATCCAATTGGACTTGTTATATTAATTGATTAAATTTAGGTTTAAATACCAATGGTCAACTTGGATTGGTAAGTTAGTGAAATTGATTTATTGACTCATCATTTTAGGGAGATTTAGTGAAACGGGAGGATTTCGAAAAAGTAAATATACCAAAATATACTGTAAATACCTCAAACAATGAAGAGGAAGAATGTTCATCCAGTGGGAGTGGAAGCAGTAATGAAGATAATGTCGTGGAACACTCATTAGAAGATGGAAAGGAAGAAATTATTGAATCGTACGAGTTGAATATACCCATCAAGAGACTATGTTGTGGAGAGCATCATTCTGCATTCATTACAAATAATGGAGCTCTATATGTTGCTGGAAAGAATAATTGTGGAGAGTTGGGCATTGGTAGAAAGTCATCCAAGCCCAACGTTGCCTATTTCACATTGGTTCAAGCTGGGTTTTTGGCTCAAGATATTAGTTTTGGTAAGGACCATTCAGTTCTACTGAGTCAGGATGGTCAGATTTACGTATCTGGATCTAATGAATCGGGACAAATTGGACTGGGTAATGTGAAGAGTGTAAAAAAGTTTGTCAAAATTAACATGGTAAGACCAGGATTTAAGATTACAAAAATTTCATGTGGATTTGTTCATTCGATGGCTATTACTAATACTGGTGGATACATGATTTGCAGTGGTGGAAATATCAATGGTGAGTTGGGTCTTTCAGATAGAGTGAAAAAGCCACAATTTGCAATGCTGAAAACTAATCTCATTCCAAAACATGTTTCATGTGGAGCTTCGTTGTCTGTTTTCCTAACTGATCAGAATGCTTACAGTTGTGGTATTAATACTGATGGAAGGTAAGTTTTTAAATAGAGCTGCTCTTCACAAGTTAAATAGACTTGGTACAGGGGATATAACACAATATTCATCTGTTTTCAGGAAGGTTTCCTCAATTAACACTGATACCATCAACAGAGTTGAGACATCTGCATTCTCATCACATTTTTACTTTGCACACAGAAAGGCCATAATTGATTCTCTGCCAATACTTCACTTCCCTATTAGACATTACAATAGAGATAGAATCCATGACAAGATTTATGGATATGGTCCACTATTGAGAAAGGTAACACCAAAATTTTATGAGAATGTGGTGATTAATGAAGAGTATCTCAATTCCATGACTACTATCGCACTAAATTTTGCTCAATATTTAGTGGATTGTGTTCAAGGTCATTTTGTGCACAAGAAGGAGAAGATAGTGGACCACTTAGTAAGCATGACCCCTATCGAGAAGGTTCATGCTCTCTATGTCATGAATCATATCGAAACTGATTTAATTATAGAGAATTTTAGAAGATTTGTAATGTACTATTTGGTTGAAGAAATAGATGGTAATGTGGAACTTACAGATCAAGTAGCCGATGAGATAAGAATGCTCTTGGATAATTTCCAAGATTTCAATGCAAATATTCAAGATACACCATTGGAAAAGGTCTCTCGTGTAGTTCGCTTGAAAAAACCCTTCGCTCACTACATTAATCATCCAATTCATGAACAATCGAACCATAGACATATTTTCCACAACATGTTCAACGATCAAGCTACTTCAGATGTCAAGGTAATTATCGATTCAGAAAAGAAGCACGTATTGTACTTGCACAAGACAATCCTCTCATCTTATAGCCCTCTTTTTGAAAAGATATTTGATGAACAGTTCCAATTCTCCAAAGATGATAATTGCTTGGATTTATATGATTTTGACCTCGATTCTAGAAATGCAATCGAAGCATCAGAGGCCAAGATTAAGGAAAAGGCACTACTCCATCTCATGCACGCATGCTATGGAATATCCAAACAACAAGACTCGGTGGATGATTCTTTCGTCCTTTTGAATAGTGAAATAACCATTCTAATTGGAATGATTTATCATGCCAGTTTATTCCAAATGGACAGTGTTATTCAAATATATCTAATCAGAAAGCTCGCCACCTTACTCTCTGTTGAAAACTTTTTAGATATTTGCAAGTGGATGTTAATGTTTGGTGACGAAACTCTTTTCCAACAACAAAGAATACCTTCCTCCTCTCCAATCTACGAACCAGAAATGATACCACCAGTTCATGAAATATTCAATTTACTCACTCAGTTTGCAGAAATGAATTTGAAACCACTTTCTAAAATGTATGAAGGAAAATTGAATGAATGGGACTCTATTCCTCACATTAAGCAACTGCTCAGTAGAAAATCGCCAAGTAAGCCAGGGAAGAAGTCACACAAGAGTTGTAGTATCCAGTAGCAAGGTATTGAATGGATACAAGATGTAAATCGAAAAATTGGATAGTTCTTAACATTAAGGAGCACCCTGAACAGTAATTTAAAAATTGGAGCCGTAATTCGGTACAAAAGAAACAACTCTGATTATACCAAAAGATAAATTGTGAGCCAAATGTACTTTCTGAGATCTCATAATAATGGGTGGAGTAAGAGTTCAATTGACTTATACTAATGCATGTTGAAGTATATTTAATAAAATGCTGATGGACCATCATTGCCATTATCCACACCATTGAATGCCCTTATTACATTACTTCTATGTTGTTGAACCATAACATCAAGCCGCCCTTAATATCTCTCGTAATATATTGCTGTTGTGAATGTTATTATTGAAAAAACAACAGCAAACAAAATACCTCAAATACCTCCTTACAGTTCCAGCGAAATGCATTTGCAACAAACTCAAGATTCCCTTAAGGAACCTCTTGTTCAACAAGAAGCATCAAACTCTTCCGATCACGCAGAGTATTATCAACCAACTGGTGTGGTGAATGAAACTATTGATCAGGTACAACAACATCAACAACAACAACAATATATTTATCAAGTTCCTTCTCAAATTCCTCCCCAACAAGGTATGATGAATAATCTACCAGAACCAATAGGTTTTGTCCCTCCACAACAACCATTGCAGCCTCAATATAATCAGCAAATGCCTCCAGTGCAACAAGTTTACATTCCACAATCACCACCATCAAATCTTAACTCGGCTGATGTTCAGGTAGATGAGCACGGAAGAATAGTAATGAAAGCTCCAAAGAATAATTTCGCTTGGGTTTTCTTTATTGTTGGCCTTGTCTTTTTGTGGTTTCCATTCCTGGCCATACCATTCTTGATTATTGCACTTATTACAAGAGATACTGACTTTATATTTGATGATAGGAAGAGAGAATTGATGAGTAAGAGTTATGGAGCAGTTGTGAAATTTGGCTGTCTGGATCGTGAAGTTTCTGTGCCTTATAGTTCGATAAATGATGTTGTGGTGGAGATGGATTTTTCAATGAGAGTGAATGGAGTTCCAAGTGGAAAGATTATAATTGTGACTAGCTCTGGAAATGTTAAGTTTACAAAGGGCTACCTTAATTATTATAAGGCAAAGGAAACAGCTCAAAAAATTATGAACTTTATTAATCAAAGAAAAGTTCAATATTAAATGGGATTTTGGGATTTTAAATCCAACTTGATACATGAATATAAAAACCATTATTTGAACTGTTAATTTTACCTAATAGTGAAATTGTTTATATTTGCTGGTAGAGATTTAATTCAATTAGGATTTGATGATGACTTTTACAATTCTGGATAGGCATATTCCATACGTTTCGTATATAATTCATCAGATGGCCCATCAACATATCCACTTTGTTTCCAAGCTTCTTCAATCAGTATAGGTTCATCCTTAAACTTTCCATCCATTAAACGAAATGCAGAACCATCAATTTGAAGCAATCTTCTCAACAATTCAACATCCAATTCATAAATTTGACCTATAATATCAGTGGAATATTTTACAAAAATCTCATAAATTAACTCCTTATCAGTAATATAAATATTTGAGCAGATACGTTTTCTTCCTGTAGATGAAGTGCATGTTTCAAATGCTGTCAGTAACACATCCCTATCATTCTGCCAATCGACCATTATACAAATCATCTCTCCATGAATGCTAACTATTCTCAAAGCAAGTTCCTTATCAATATTTCTCAATGCTTCATAGACAGAGGTAGGGCAATATCCTTTTTCTTTCAAAATGAGGAGTAGAACGTGATGCATTTCATTGCTTTCCTTTGGAATTGCACAATTATCAATTACCTCTTGCACGAATGAAGAATTACTTCTCAATTCTTCAGATGCATAAACAAAACAAGATCCATCCTTTTTGACAGCTTCCAGAACACTATCTCTATCATTTTTCAATTGATCACTTGCATAATCCAATGCCAATGGATTCTGTTTCACTGCAATTCTATCAAAATTCTCCAAATCTTCCGTCACAAATTGCAATAACTGTCCATTCTTCTCGACAGCCATCTTGATAACATCTGCTCCACAATTAATACTCTCATTTTCATATATCGCTTCGAATACCATTGGGTTTTGTTCAATAGCAATCTTAATGAGCTCCTCATCACCCATCAGCTCATCACTCAACTCGTAAATTACCTTTCCATTTCTCTTCAATGCCTTTCTAATAAATGCTTTATCATTTTTCAATTTATCACTTGTTGTATTGAATACTGAATAATTCTCCTCAATAGCACTCAAAACAAACTCCTCATCCTCCATAAACTCCGTACTAATCCCGAAACAGTTATCTGAACATGAAATGCATGCCAATAGAGCCATTTCTCTATCGAATTTGAATTTTTGATTGTCAAAGAAAGAAGAATCTAGGTGAATTAATAATTTGACAATTTCACGATCATTAGCAAATGGTTTCAATATTTCATTGTCAATTGGAACAGATGCAAAATTATCATTTTTAAGGGATTTTAACATTTCGAATAGAATTTCACGATCGGAGAAGGCTTCTGGATGAATATCATAGAGACAATGAGAGCCATTCTTCTTGATGGATGCCAAAACGTATTCCCTATCTTTGTAAAATTCTATGGGAATGTATCCGAAAGCAATATTCATTCGATTTTCCAAGAATTTTCTTTTTGATTTTCTAGCTGTTGAAAGTTTATGTTTCATCTTTTCAAATAATTGAAACAGTGATGAATCATCAAGAGTTTGAAAGTCCGACAGTACGACCCTTGTTTGCATTTTTTTTTAAATCAATCTCAAAATTTACTTTTCTCTGGTTGACTTGTGTGTAAAAAAACTAAACTAAAAGATTCTCTTCAATTTTTTACAAAAGTATTAAAAGAAAAGTTCTGAAAAGGAGTCCAACACAGCATGCAAAAAACCTCCATAATTACCACTATTAGTTGTTTGAATTGGCGAAACTGGAGAGAAATCATTCGATTGTTGCAACAAGATGAAATAAATTTGTTGAACTTGTTGTCTTGCTTGTGTGGCATTTGGCCTCTTTCTTCTGTTTGGATGAACCATTTGCAATATCAACTCTGTTGTTTCCCTACTAACATTCCTAGATGCTAATCCATTGACGACTTGGCTTTTAAATGTAGTCGTCGTTCTTGGATCGGAAATAATAACTCCCAATAATCTCAATGCTGTCATACCAGTTGAGTAAATATCTGATTTGTTTGTGTAACTTGAAACATCTGTTCCCTTAATTTCAGGTGCTGTAAAGTATTTTGTTCCACAAAATCCTGTTGTTTTTAAGGTGTGTACAGATCTCAGCAGTCCATAATCACCAAGAACAACATCAATTGGATTCGAATTTCTGACAAAAATATTGTGAGGCTTAATATCTCTGAGATTAGTTTAGTTTCCATGATTGCCAAACCAAAACCTACCTATGAATGTAATCATTGGCATGTAACACCTCGAGAGCTTCCAACACCTGTTCAAGAATTATCAAACATGACCTCTCCTCTATTACTTGATTCTTTTCCAAACTTCCACCTGCATAGAATGGCGAGACAATATAGAGAGTTTTATCCTCCTCAAAACTATCCATCACATATAAAAGTCGAGGATGCACAAATACTCTGTTGGCCTCTTTCATTACTTGTCTTCTGCTTGGCTTTTGCTTTTCACTTTCACTCTTTGGATTATCCTCTGCAAATTCAATTGCTTTAATGGCAACATTGTGTATGGTATTATCGAAGGGAATTTGTGTTTTGTAGACAGTGCCGAATCCTCCTGCTCCTATAGGTTCTATTACATTATTAGAATTAGTATTAGAATTCGTATTAGAATTATTACTGTAAAGGTAATAATGGTTATTGATGGCATTCATGTGTTTCATTCTAATTCTTTGATCGTTGGGTAAATTTCCTCGCAAATTTGAATTGATATGACCACCTCCAAATGAATAATCCATCATCATTTGATCACATGTTGTATCGTTGTCAGCCATTTTTTAATAAGTGTTTCACACAAAGTGTGTGTGAAAGATGTCCCACGTCTATTTCCACAAGCATTTCTTCAACAGTTTAGTTGACAGTCATCTCAAAAAAATGGATTCACACAATGATGTTGATGACATGTCATTAGTTGCTCTCCACCCTAATGAACATTCTGAACAAGTATCGGATCTTTGGAATGATAATTCGCTTCTTGTGATTCCAAATGCTAAACCAAAAACTGTTGAAGAACAAATCTCATCTCAGACCACGACTGGAAAAAAAGCAGGATCCATGTGAGTTTTCAAAGTTTTGGATTTTCTTTATTAACTTGGCAATTTACACAATAGAATATTTAGATTATACCTTCTCTTTGATTATTTCACAATTTTGGCATTTAACATTTGGGGATGTAAGTTTATTCTGCAATATTTGAATAACTTGACAGTTTAGGCGTTCTCTATAATAGATACAATCAGTTGAGTGATACCGAATCATGTAAATCACATTCCATCTCTTCTATCATCTTGTCATGTTCCATATTTTCATTATTGTTAAACACTTGCTTGGTCTGTATGAAATCATGTTTCAAATGTGAAGTGTGTGATGATTCAATGTACGGTTGTATCAGATCATGTAATGTTGTACACATAGTTCCAGTCGTTATTCTAACAATATGTAATATTGCACTCGTTTCTCAATGCCAAAACACTAGTCAAGTTCCAGAATTTTATTCGAATGTCTTGTCGTATACTTGCTCCTTTTTAGTATATGTCATAGTATTCAATTTGTGTACAGTTTGTGTTTACATGCTGTTGAGAGTTGTTGCCAATTTCATGGTGGGAAAGAATGAATTCTCTAGATATAAATAAATCTTTTGTAATAATTGATTAAATAATATTTGCTGTTTTGGTATTGGTTATAATATCCACAACTTCGTTTAGGAAATAACCAATTTTGTAAAAGGCAGTTTCCTCAATATCTTCATACATTTGCCGATTCTGATAGAGATTTTCAGTGTTTTCAAGAGTTTTCATCACTTGATTGACTCTCTTTTTTAAGTTTGTGCAAAAGTTAGCTCTGAGAGAAGGTGACGGATGAATCATATCCAATAGGATATCTATAGTTGCCTTACTTAATTTCTCCCTTAGTCCCTGAATTACTTGACCTTTGACAGTAAGTGAGGTTCTTGGAAACTGAATATGAACTCCCATCATTGAAATTATGGTCAATCCGAGTGAATAAATATCAGCTGCGAAGGTGAATCGTTTTCCTCCTGTTGGGGAAATTTCAGGAGGCAGATAGTATAAGGTACCACACATTTGATCAGCTCTATTTCCATGCTCATGCAATAATAACCCAAAATCTGCGAGAATAACTCGTGTAGGATCTATTGATTCCACTAGGACATTACTAGGTTTAATATCTCTGTTTAGGTTGTTTCGTATATTACAATATTTGGTTAAGTTATAAAACAAACCTATGTATGAGTTTTTGGGAATGCAAATATTCTAAACCTTCCAGTAATTGATTCAGTATCAACAAACAATGGTATTCATCTAGTTTCAAATATCCTCCAATTTGTTCCAATGTTTCGTATTTGCAAAAATTCGAAACCATGTACAAAGTATAGTCCACTTCAAACCTCTCCATAATATTCAACAATCTCTCATGTTTAAAATCTCTCATGGCTTCTATAACCACTTCACTTCTTGTTGGTTTCTCCGAAATTTGATTATCCTCCACAAAATCAACTGCCTTTATGGCATAGCAATTTTCTGACACATCAACCTTGTACACACAACCAAAACCACCAGATCCAACAAGTGTAATGTTCACATCGAGACCAAACTTGTTTAAAATGTCATCGTGATGCTTCTTCTTTGAGGATGACGACAAGTCAATTGACATTTTTTAAAAAAATTCGTTTTAAAAAAAATATGATTTCACACAACAATAGCAAGGAGAATTTGGGAATTGATGATGAGAATTTCGAAAAAAGAGAAAATGTGGAAAAAAAGGTTGTCAACAATCTTGAGAATAATTTAGTTGTTCAACAAGAAAACGAAAGTGAGAAGAGAAGTAAACTCGCCACTCTGCTTGCCAAAATGTAAGTTTCTCACTTTCCGATAACTTGTTGAAGATAAAAACACAATAGTTTGTCAAAAGTAGGACTCGTTTTAGCTTACTTGGTTTCCTTGCTTTATAAAATAGTTGAAGGTATGTGTTTTTGTTTCGGATATAGTTTCAAATAATTTTGACAAACTATAGTGCTGATCATTGCTTTCTTCTTTCATTTGGATGATACTGAATCGTGTCAGTGCAAAACAATCACCATACTTTTTCTCATTCAGTTTCTGTTATTTTCCCTTTATCAGATTATGCATTTTGTAGAGGAAACAATTAAACAAAAGTGCATGAAGGTTGACAAGGAATGGGATGCAGAGACATTTGAATATCATGTTAAAAAGCAAACGACGAAGGGTTTTACCATCTTTAATATCCTCAATTATTGCTGTATACTGATTGCAATTGTCCTTCGTATATGTTCGTTTGCTTTAGTCAACCAAAAAGAATGCAGTACGGTTGAACCTGAGTTCTACAAGTATCACATGATTTTTTATATTGGTTCCATACTTTATGGCTTTTTGATTGCATCATTTGGTTCGGTTGCACTGATAGGTACGAGAATTGTGGCCTATTATCTGATGGGAAAGAGACAATTTTTTAGAATCTAAAAAGATCTCTAGAAAGGGTTTTAATCAAGTTATATTTTGAGGAATAGTTTCATTGATGATATGCAATTACTTTATTTACTGTTTTTGAATTGAATGTTTACAATAAAGATGATTATTATTGAACTAAAAATTTTTTGTCTTCTCATAATGGAATTTCTTCTATTGCTACATGATAGTAATAATAAATACCCAAAGCAATTGCTGTTGATGCTCCAGATTTACCACCAACAGTTTTTTCAGGATTGAAAGATAAAGTGCAAGCTAAAGCATCTGCTGTTAAATATTGATTGCTTTCTTGGAAGAAATGCCTTTTCATTGTTTATTTAGATGTGCTTCTTCGCTTAATTCATTCTTACGAAATACAGAGCCATCAATTTCATAAATTCAACATCCATAATTTTGATGAGAAAAATGAATGCATGCACTCTTTACAATGTATTCGTTATTCATTACATTTTATGAGTATGTTGGATGAATTAATAAAAACATTGAAGAGAAACATCGGAAAAGGAGGATGTTTGTTTTTGAGAAAAAGGAGTTGGAGCTTCACTCTTCACTTTGAACAAGAATCTGAACGAAAACCCCAATGAATTAAGAGAAAAACTCATTGCTTCAAATTCCTCTCTCAAATTCAAATGAACTTGGAAGAGGTCAGGATTTGCCTTAAATGGACGAAAAGCGAACAACTTTGGTTTTGAGAAAGATTGAGGAAATTCCAAAGCTTCACTGTATCCACCATTGACATCACCATCTAGAAAACGAAAATCTTTTCTTTTTCTTGATTTTTTTTGAATGATTGAGAATTCATGCTTTCCCTGCTGAATTAATGGATGGACAATTGGGCTCACAACCTCAATTGAGTGGCTTTGCAAGTCAAAGAGAAACCAACGTGTATTTTGTGTGATTAGATCTTGGAAAGTGATTGCGTTGGAGTTGTCTTCAAAAATCAACACCAAGTATTTGGTTTTGGTCAATCGACAGAGTGCTCTTGACTCAGACTGAGTAATGAGCTTTGAAAATTGTGAGAAATTAGTAAATTGAACCAATTCACTTGAGTATTCATCTTCCATCTTCACCATTTTGTGAATTTGATTGTAAATCAAGTAAATTGCTTGATCTGTTTGGTTGACTAAAACCAAACATTTCTTATCACACTTCAGAGAAACATCAGTAAATTCTGGACTATCTGTATTGGAAAAACTAGCTTTGAACACTGTAGAATCAGTGCTTCCAACAAAATCCAGACAGTTTCCATCAGAAATGCATGGAATCAACCTTTGTTCTTCATTTTTTTCAAAAACTAGTCCTTTTCCCTTTTTCCAAGACACTTGAGATTCCTTAATGTTATCCTGATTCAGCATGATGGTAACAATTTTGGTTTTCCATCTGTTTAACAGCACCAAATCTACTTGTGTTTCGTCCAGTTTCTTTATCCCAACAAAGAATGGTTGAAGAATTCACCCTTTTCTAAAATTGCGCATTTCGAATGATCAATCCTATGACCAAACTTTCCCTGTCTCAAAAAACAGTATCTCACAGTTGTAGAAGCATATTCTTGTTTAACAATCAGTAATGCCAACAAAAATCTTGGAGTGTACTGACAAGTTTCGTCCAAATTTCTTTGAAACAAAACGAGGACCATGTCCACCAGTAGATTCCATTACAACAGCCAATGGGATCATATTACTAGAGTATGTTTTCATGCTATACCTGTGAAGGTCGCAATAGGAACAACAATAATTGTCGTTGTAGATTCGTTTTTCAGCATCGGTGAGGGAATTCCAACGTTTCTGATTGTAATCACTGATTTTTCGTGGTTTAATGTTGAGTTTGAGGTCAGAGACGGTTTGGAGGTGTTTGTGTTGGATTTGGTGTTGTGGCATTTTTTTTGTGTGTTGATGTTTTGCTTTCGAACTTGAGGTTTCTTCTCGTATTTAACGACTTGTTGCAGTTTATTTTGTTTACTGCTGGATCTATTAATAGATTTATATCTTTTTTAACTTGATTGATGCCTTTGACAATATTAATAATATAATATATAAATATATATTGTCTTTTTAGTAATAGTGTGTATGGATATTTAACCAACGGATAACCTCTGAGTTGAGGGTCAGCTAGCTTGAGATATCTGATGGACAGGAGAAGATAAGTTTCTAATCTTTGGAAAGACAGACATGATTAAAGTTGGCGCCAAAATTTTGGCGCCAATTTGCAACTATTTAACATTGAAGCATTACTGAGTATCAAATGAATCCACAAGTTAATTTAATCAATGCCATCCCAAAATCAAAATTTTGTTATCAATTAATTCATTGAAACCTTTGCAATGCTGCTAAAACAATTAATTTCACATTGTTCAAAAATTTGGCGGGAACATTTGTACCCTTGCGAAATATCTAACGAGTTTTTTCAGGGTGAAGGTGAGATGGATGGCAGTTACATACGGATAAAAAACCTAGCCAGCGCTCATCCAACATCCTGCACACTATTACTAAAAAGACAATAACACTAGCTTACTATTTGCTGGTAACTTGCGGCAAAAATTTTTTCAATAAAACACCATGCCAACAACAATGCGTGAGATTAAAATTTTGGAATGATCAAAAAAAAAGTCTCGAAGAGGGCTGTGTTGGAAGAAGTTGAACAAAAGCTTGCTGCTACTGTCGAAAAAGCAGATGATGGGAGTTTAGATGATTATTTGGATCTCTTTGGTGATTTTAATGAAGGATTGGACGATAATTTAATTGGAAAACGAAAAAGTTTTTTTATTTTTGATGCTGATTATTATTTGAAGCGTGTGATGGTAATGGAGGCTGAGATTGTGGATATTATCAGAAGAAGAATGGTGCCAGATGCTAAACGTTCTATATCTAGATTTGTTAACACCTACAATACAATTAGTTGTGATGAAATAGAATGGAAAGCTTTATGTATGAAATTGGATTTATCATTTCACGGAAGTAAAAGCAAAGACAATTATCGGATTTTTGATAGAGGACTTGAGGCTGGAAGTAGCAGAAAAGTTGATAGAACTACTTTAGAATGGATTAATGATGCTCCAAATTCCTTTCTTCCTATTCTTGAGGATAATAGATATTGGTGGTTGTATAAATGGGAACATAAAAAGAAGAAGTGGAGGTCAATGGTAGTGAATTTAAAATTGGTTTATTTACAAGAAACTCACAAGATCAGAATAGAGTTTGATTATATTGTGTTTGAATTGCAATTAGTTAATGAACAGTTAGCTAAAGGAAAGAAAGTTTGGAAAGAACGTTTATGATTCAACTTTTATATGATGATCTAAAAATAAAACCTACCGGCATGTTTTATTAATAGATTTAAATGTTTTAAAAAAAAATGAGAATACAAGGTCCACCAATAACAAAATCCATAAACCTAAAAATCCACGAAGGAGCAAAATTTATTAGAATCCATGTTGATCACATTATACATTCATATAATATAAAAGAGTTTGTTAATATGGAATGTATTGATTTAACAAATGATAATTTTATTTATGGTGAACATTTTTTGTTTCCTCCTACTACGATAGAGGAGAAGATGTTTGGTAAAAGAAAGGTTGAACAAGATGATGATAATAATGATGAATATGATAATAATAATGATGATGATGATAAGAATAATGGTGATGATAATGGTGATAATAAGAAACGGGTTTGTTTTAATTTTAAATATAATATAATTTAACAACATCAAAGCGACACAAAAAACTAAAAACAACAGAACCTACGAATAATGCTACATCAAATACTTTAACAACAACAACAACAGATTCAACAATTAAATTAACAACAACAATAGACCCAACAAACACTACATCAAATAATTTAATAACAACCACACCAACAATAGAACATACTAATTTAACAACAACAAAAAAACGGGTTTGTTTTATTAATTATATTTCATTAACATAATTTAGAGAATAATAAGACATTCAAAACCAATAGAACCTACAAAAAGTACAACAATACAATCTACAAATACTATAAATAATTCAACAACAATAGAACCTACAAATAATTTAATAAGTACTCCAATAACAAACACTACATCAAATAATTTAACAACAACTACTAAATCTACAAATACAATAATAGAACCTACAAACACTATAAATATTAATAATTTAACAAGTACAACAACAGATTCAATAATTACATCAATTACAACAATAGAACCTACAAATACAACATCAAATAATTTAATAACAACAACAATAGAACCTACAAACACTACTACAACAACAATAGAATCTGCAATTAATTTAACAATACCAATCAGTACTAATAATAATTCTACAATTGAATCTTCCAACAATATTCAACAATCTGGAAATACTATTATTACTTCATCAATTACTCCAAATAATAACATAGTACTAGATAAAATAGATAAAATAATTCAAGAATTAATTATTCAACAAGTTAATCATGATAATTTATTAATTAATATTAAAAATGTAATTAATAATAATCATACTAAACACCTAATTAAAAATTTTGATGTGAATAATGATATGATCATTATATCATTATTAAAAAGTACAAGGGAAAGTAATATTATTAATATTAATATTGAAAATATTTATGTTTATGAATTTTTTAAATATCATAATTTAATAGACAACAAAAACCATGATAATCAAGAACATTTTAAACAACTGACTAATTTGAAATATGCTAATTATATAAGAAAAGCTATTGTTGGGAAATTAATTTCAACCTTTCCTATTTTAATATTAAAATCACTCAATCAAAAACAATTTGGCTTAGTTAAGCCGTATTCTAATGTTTGTGAATATATTATATCAAAATTACCATCTTCTTTAAATGTTCAAATAGATTTTATAAACTTTTTCAAACAATGTGTAAATGATGAACTTAATGAATAATAAATTTACTCTTCCACTTCATAGGTTCCAAATATTTTTAACATATTCAATAGATTAAATTAAATAGAATCTAATATTACAAGTTTAAGTATACTAAATGATTTAATTAATATTCATAAATAATGGATATTATTTATACAACGCGAATTAATATTAACAAGTTCAACTGAAACATTAGAATCCATGTTTAACAGTTATTTGATTTTACTAAATTATTTACAATAATTATTCAATTTATTTCCACATTGAAAACAATTTATTCAATTTTTATGCTAAATTTAAAGTTAGTTCAGAAATGATAAAACAAGTGGGAACGGAAGTACAAAATAAACAAGACAGAAAAATGATTAATAATATTTCTTTTCATAATGGATTAAATAATTCAGATATGCAATTATTTTATGCAGATCCAAACTATTATTAACTTTAGAAGATACAAATAAAAATTAAAATTTTATCGCTTATCAAGAATCGAACCAACGTCTCTGCGTTGGTATTACCAGATTCATGCCACTGCACTATCCATGCACTTATATTTACATGAAACTCGGATGCAACAAGAACCATACACTTGTCGGAGGACCTTACTTTTGCTATGGCGGCGGCGGCGAAAATTTCCGGGAAGCTAGTGAAGAAAACTTGCTATAAATTTAAGAAAAAGCATTGGGTAAGAGTTTTTAAACTCATTATCCAAAAAAGAAGAAATCAATTTGATAAAGTTTAGTTTATTCAATCTCAAGTTTAGTAAAAACTTTATTGAACTGCATAATAAATAATACTCGATAAACTCAATACAAGAATGGCAAATCCAGTCAACAAGACAAAATAAGAGAAGGCCACAGCAGCCCTTCTTGTCCAAGGAAGTGAAAGTTTGATATTCTTGCTGGTATTGGTTGACTTGGCTTCCTTGTGATTCTTGACCATTTCATAATCTTGTTTTTCCAATAGTTTTGCAATCATTTCCTTTCGTTCTCTTCTCTCCAAAACAATGTAGGTCAAACTTGGGAAAATATAAGCGATGGTTGTGGCACTGATGGCTCCTGTGAGTCCAATAATAACTCCCAAATTTTCCACAAGTATTGCAACAATGAAAGCAGACAGGACAACTATTAAGGTAGTTCCGTAGTGGAGAGCGTCTTTTCCTGTTCTGGTGGCAAAGAATCTGGAAATACTTGCCAAGACTGCATTCTTGTGTTTGGTATTTTCACTTGTTGGTGAAGTTTCATTGACACTAGTTGTTGCAGCATCCTCCTCTTCAGAGTCCTTTCCAGCACTCACTACAGTAAGCTCACTTTCAGTAACTGTATTTTCGTCGGATGGTTCACTAGTGAATGGTTTTGTTTTGAATTGTTCCTTTTGTTGTTTAACTTCGTCGAATTGTTGCAAAATTGTCTTGATTACTGACTTAAGGGCAAATCGAGGCATGAAACAAGTGTAGGAAATTGATAATCCAAGAGAGGCACAAAGGAGAATTCTTGCCAAAATCGCCAATCCATAATTCTTTGGTAATAAATCCAAAACATTGGCATCCTTCAAATTGACATCGAAAAACAATAAAAAGCTCGAAAGTCCCATAAAAAGAAGAACTCCAACAGCCAAAAGAAGCATGCAAAATACAAGAATCATGTAACGCTTTCTACTATTGTTTTTGAGTGATCCAATCACCTCAAAACTCACCTATTGATTTTAGGAATTATTGGAATCAGTATGAGTGTAATACTACTTACATCATGGCAAACAAAAACAAAACTCAAGGTTCCCATAGCGCTCAAATATTGAGGTCTTAAAAAATCAAAAACTGAATCATTGTAAGGAACCTTTCTTCTACCGAGACCAAGCTCATAGGTCAATAAGATGGAAATTAGGGCAACACTAGTTACAGAAATGAGGGAAGCATACTTGAAGCTTGATAATTGCTTCATAGATGCAATTGGTAACAAAATAATGGTTACATAAACAAGTACAGCATATCTTGAAATGAAAACTGACTCCTTTCCAATAAGCTCATACAATAAATCAGGCAAAATTTGAGAAATTTCAATAAGTTCAGAACAAACAGCTCCAAAATTGAACAAAAATATAAATATGCAAATCAAAATATATCCAATATTTCCAAAAGTTTTCTTAATCAATGAAGGAAAACTCGTAACTTTTTGTGCATTAGCCATATCATAGAGAATTATCAACGTGAAAAATATCAAACAGGCAACAATGACCAATGTTAAAACATAGGCGCCAATACCAGACTGAGCGACAGTATAACCTGAACTAATTGTTGCTGGTGATACAACATCATTAATTAAATTGTAAACACCAAAAGCAATATTAGTTTTAGTGAAATGTCTCCACAATCGTTCTCTATGAAAATCATCACTTTTACCAGTAGAGGTTGGAATATCCTTGAGTAACAATTCCACACTCTTTCTGTTAGTATCAATTGAATCTCTATGAGACGATCCATCATCCTCATCGGAAACTTCTTGATTCAAATCCACATCCTTAAAGGTAGAGATTTCATCATTTTTAAAATCGTCCTTTTCATCCTCATCATGATGATAATATTCAGTACCTTTCAATGCAACTGGGTCGCTTATGGTATTATTCTTTGTATTATTTGCGAAGGAAACTGATGAAGAAACTGCCACTGGAGAAATTATTGTCTTGGAAGAACCAGGAGATGGCACAAAGGCAATATTTGAGCCAACTGATCTCACTGAGAGAACACTTCTGTTTTGGGTACTTGTTCCATTGATTAACGATCCAAAACTAGAATTACTAGTTCCTGTCAACTTGGTGGCAGGTAAAAATTCAGGATGAGAAGTATCCACAGACAAGTTTTGATAGGATTGGCCACCTTGCTCTATTGGCATTGAAAAATGTATATTTTGTGAATCAACACTCGGAAGTGTACCTGTTGAATTATTCATAGAGGCAGAATTTTGAATTGAAGGAGAGTGAATACCAGTTGGTGTCAATGTCAAAGAGCCTGATGAACCAAAAGTGAAATTCGTATTTACAAATCGACTATTATTATAACTAATATTTGAATTTACAGTAATGCTACTTCCAGCAGTGGATGGTGTCGTTGGAGAAATACTCACAGAGGAGAAGGAATCTACAGAATTATTTCTTTTTTCATTGTGGATGTTATTTACAACTTTGAAGGGCAAATGATGATGTGCAATTGTTGAATTACTACTCTCCGAAGAATGAGGAATAACAATTGTTGGCATATTACTATTAACATCATTCTTACTAGCACCAATATTGTTATCCTGATTGACCACCGATTCCTCCACCGCCATATTCTTACTACTCTTTGAATTTTCCATTCTTATTGTCGTTGTATTATTACTATTAACATTAGTAGATAAAGTTGATGATGAAGTTTTGCTGTTACTACTACTGCCATCATCCAAGCCTTCTTCCGAATGATAATGTTTATCCTTCACATCATCCTCTAAGACTTGTTGTTGCATTTTTTATTGTTGCGAATCACATAATAATTATTACTACCCAATAAGGACTTGTTTTATTGTAAAGTAATTTAAAAGGGAGCTATTTAAAATAGATTGGGTGATTTATCAGCGCTATTTTTCACTACGGATATATTGACAGGTTGTGTGGAATGTGAAGGTGAGGGAGTTGGTGTGGTTTGAGTTTCGTTTGTTGTTGAGACGGGATGAATTTCTTGGACGGAGAAGGGAAACGAAAGTGGTTCCAATTGAGAAAGTCGTTTGAGGGAGAACCCATTGAGAGGATCGAGGAGTTCATTAAGGGAGGCAGGGTGAAAGGTTTGGGTGAGAGGATCCTGGAATGCTCGAGTGAATAAATCCATTTCCCATTCAGTAAAGTCATCTTGCTCAATTGCTAGTTTAATTGAGGGAGAATTCATCTGTGATTCTTTTTCTGAACATTGACATGTGAAAAGGTGTGAATTTTGGAGAATATTGTAGCATGTAGAATCAATGAGTGTTTTCAAAGTTTCATTCGAGTCTGTTAAGTTTGAATTATCAATTGAAGAAGAGGAAGTTATGAGTTCCACATAAATATCGAGTGAAGATGAATATTTCAATGATTTGCTCATGAATAATACTGCCTTTTCAACTTGTTGATTCGGAAGTAAAATATATTTAATATAAAAGTGGAAAAGAGGAAATAATAATCTTTTAATGGATTCGGGAGGAGTGGAATTTTCATCAAGTAAATTTTCCAAATATTCTAGTGTATCATCAAAATTTTCATTTTCCAAACCTAGTTTAACTGTTTCAATGATTTCCGAGATATTAGGAACGAATAAAGAGGTTGTATCAATCTTTCGTTTCTTGTTCATTTTTTTCCTAAATTTTCAAAATTGTTTTTTTCAAATATTAAAAAGATAATCTATCTGAAGAGATAGGTACCCTTCTTTCTAGGAGTGTTATCACCACTATTAGAATTGCTATTGGATCCACTGTTTGGAGCACTACCACTATAATCAGAGAGTGATTGAGGGTCAGCAAATGTAATAGTAATATTATCAATAACATCGTCAGACATTTGAAGTTCTGTTTGAGGGAGACTGTGAGTCTTAGCTACAGAATGCTTTCTTGTTTTGGTTGGTTCAACTGGTGGATTAACTCTAAACTTTTTAACAAATTTGTATAAATTAACATAATATCCAGGACATAACCAAGTTCCATAATGAGTGCCTTCATCAAATCTCTTAACATAACAATATTCTCCAAATCTTTCACAATAAATTTCAATGAGAGTATCCATATGAGTGGCTGGAATGAGTTCATCCTTTCTTCCACTAATAAATAAGAATGGCAAATCACCATTAAGTCTCTTTCTGTGATAATCATTTCTGAATTGAGCATTTCTCAATGTAGCTTCATTATCCCACTTATTGACACTAAAGAATTGAAGAATTGGTGAAATGAATCTGTATGGGAAAATGGCTGGTATCAACTTTGGAATAGACATGAAGGTATTCTCAACAATAACTCCACGAATAGCATTGGCATATTTTGAAGCCAAATAAATTGATACAGCTCCTCCTAAACTTCTTCCGAAAATGAAAATGTTATTTGGATTGATATCCGATCGCTTCTCAAGAAGATATCTAATTGCTGTTTCAGCATCATTCTTCAAGCCCTCTTCGGAAGGTTCTCCAGTACTCTTACCATATCCTCTATATTCAACCATGAGAATATTACACTTTAAAGTATGATACATATCTCTAGCATTGGTCAAACGATGGGAAATATTTCCAGCATTACCATGGAACATGATTATTGTTGGAGTATATTGAAGTTGCTTCTTGTATTGCATCATGGCAACATTACTCTTCTTTTGCTTCTTCTTTCCATGTTCTTCGGCATGATTAGAAATTCCTACAGTTTGATTTTGATGGAAGGAAAAGATTCCATCCTCGTCTTCATCATGTTTATCGTTTGACTTCTTTTGAAGGAAGGCAGCATCAATTCCGCCACTATTTGGTTGTACATAACGAAGGAACCAACAATGTATCTTTGCTTGTCCGTCCAATGTATCGAGGAAAATATCTTCGAATGGCAGATTGAAGATAGAAGGTAAGTATTCAAGTATTCTAGCCTGTCCTCTTGGCATATAATTACAATAGAGTAACAAGTTTTGTTTGTAATAAGCCAAAGAAAAGAGTACCACAAAGGGTATCGATCCAAGCAGCCAATAAAACATTTTCCAATATATTATTAATATTTGTACAATAATTGATGATGAGAGTTTTAAAGTGCTCTTGATGATGATATTATTGAAATTATTCGAAGAAGAACAAGAGAGAGGATGTATTTTCCGAGTGCCGCTTGTTTATCCTCTAAATGTTGATGATGTTTGAAATTATATAATCCTTTCTCTTCTTCTGTTTTGCTTCCTAGCTTGGATGATACTATTTCCTTCAAAGATACAAATTGAGAGAAACAGAGAAAGTTTGCCGCTTTTTTTATTGAGTTGTTTTTGCTCAGTCACAAGTAAAATCTCCTCAACGCCAAGCAAGTAAACATTTCTATAAAAGTAAAGACAGAGAGGTAAGGCAAGAATGTTGGATTTGGATAGTCTTTCATGTTGGGAATGAGAATTCTTTACAATATTTTGATTTTATTCAATAATTTACAAGTTTAGTACAATACTTATTCCTTCTTCTTTTCTTCAACCATATCTGGATCAATTGGAATGTACCAGTGGTCTTCTTTTTGAATTTGTGAATAGATTTTATCAATTCTTTCCAATTTGTCTCCGTAAGCAAAGTCCCAATTGTATAATACAACGAGTGAATAAGCTCTGTTGTGAAGAACAGGGAATTTCATATTCGATTTTAATTCCAATTCGAAAATATTTTACAATGATCAATATTATTAAAGAATAATTCAATATAATCCATGTAAATATTAAAACACTTACGTATATGGAAGAATAACTCCAGGATGAATTGGTTTCTTCTTAATCAATCCAGCAAGTAAACCAGTCGAAATAAAACCATGGAAACCAGCCATCCACCAAAATCGTTCTCTAGCAATAGCAACTTGAGTAGCAATTTGCATTCTCTTCATTCTTTCTCCTTGCTTTTTCTGATTTTGTACCATTTTCTCTTGCATTTCAACTTGCACAGCCTTTTGCTTTTCTGCCATTGAATTGGCAATTGAACTACCAATATTACCCATTTTCTCTTTTATAATTTATTGTAGCAATGTATTCCGATGATATTATGAACAATGTAGATAACAATTCTAGGGAGTTTGCAGCTCTCTCTTATCTTGTTGTTATTTTTTTTAAATTGTTGGGACCTTTATTGGGTTTATTTGATGGAATATTTGAATTGTTTGATGGTCCGTCAGACTGTTATGCCCGTCAAAGGCGGACGTAGATTTAATTTGATTTCATTAGTATTTTAATTAAGATGATGACATTGTTATCAATTGATTGAACTTTACAAAAACAACGGAAAGATTGCAGTCAAATAATAAATTGCCTATGTTTCATTACATTAATGTAATCCAAAGATTACAAAATAAATATTGCAATGACAGGGAAGAAACTGAACGAAAATTAAATCAAATAATTGCTTGACTGCCTTGTTTCGAAATAGAATTCATTTAAGGTTCAATACAAAAAGGATTCTTGAGAGGCCAAAACATTATTGTCAGCACATCTTGATGAAACTCTTTTTGTAAGCATTAAATAATCATTCTACAGTTGTCTCGCGTTATCTGTTACCATATTACCTCATCATATTGTATCTACAACACTACACTATTCTGATGATGTATTAGCTTACCTCATCACACAATAAAAACAACAGCTTATTCATGACTGCCATCGTCATCAAATTTTATTATTTTAAAAAAATAAAACAAAGGCCACAGAGATGAGACTCACTTCCGTTAACAAGTCTGGTACACTTTCTTGGTGTCCTATTCAAGACCACACCGATTTGATGGCTGTTGGTTCTCTGGCTGGCTCGTTGGATTGGAATGAATCGCTGAGATCTAGTCAACAAGCAGGTACTGGAGCAACTTTAGAAATATACAGTATATTGCCAAGCTTTACAGGAAAGCAAATCAGTAGTTTAAGCACAAAATATGAAGAGAGTGAAGAAACCCCTGTTGAAGAAGAATCCGTACAACAACAACAAGAATCAACAGATTCATCAGATATTTTCCAAAGTAACGATGATGATTTCTTCTCAAATAGTTCTTCATCAGCTTTCTTTTCATCATTGGGTTCTACTCATCAACAAAACGAATTAATCTCAACAGAGGAAGAGGAAAAGAAGAAAAAGGAAGCTGCTAGAAAGCATCCAAAATTAGTTGCTCAAATCGAAGCACCTGATCGTTTTAACAGACTTTCTTGGGGTACTCCGGGATCAACAGGAGAATCACTTGGTATTGTTGCTGGTGCTCAAGTTGATGGTACTATTAGTCTTTTTGATGTTAACAAGATGGTAGAATCTTACTCCAAGACAAAGAAAATTTCATCAACAAGTTCTGCTCTTGTTGCTACTCTTGATAAGCACCAAAATAGTGTTCGTGGCTTAGAATTTAATCCAAAACAAGTCAATTTATTGGCAAGTGCTGGTGAAGATGGACAACTTTTCATCTGGAACTTGAAGCAACCAGAACAACCTGGTGTTGTTGTTTTGGGTTGTAAAAATCCACATCAAAATCAAACAATTTCTCATCTTCAATGGAATCAAAAATTCGAATATATTTTGGCAACAACATCTCATCAAGGAACATCTGTTGTTTGGGATTTGAGACAAAAACGTGTTCTTGTTCCTTTCAGTAATGCCAATCATCCAAGATCAAGATACAGTTCTCTTGCTTGGAATCCAGATATTCATACTCAATTATTAGTAGCTTGTGAGGATGATGAAAGACCAGTTATTGAAGTTTGGGATTTGAGAAAGGCTTATGCTCCAATCAGAGAACTCGGATCCGCTCAACAAGGACATCAAAAGGGTGTTTTGAGTGTTAGTTGGTGTCGTGAAGATAGTAACCTTTTGGTCAGTAGTGGTAAGGACAATCGTTCACTTATTTGGAATCCTAATACTGGTGATTTACTTGGAGAACTTTCAACTGGTTTCTCTGAAGTTTCATCATCCAATAGAAATAATAAGGGAAGAGTTAATACTCAAGAAGAATATCCATGGATTTTCGATGCCCAATGGTCATACAAATCAACTATTCTTTCAACAAGCTCTTTTGATAAGAAGATTCAAGTTTACAGTGTTCAAGATCCAAGTTCTGTCAATGTTGAATCCAATGCATTCAATGCCTCTGTCAAGAATATTTCACAACCAACTGCTTCAGTTTTGAAGACTGCACCAAAATGGCTTAAGAGACCAGCTGGTGTTTCTTGGTGTTTTGGAAATAGATTAATTGCTTTCAATAACACAATCAAGCAAGAAAGTGAAGAAAATAGTTTGGAAAAGCACCAACAAGTTCAACAATTCATGACTCCAAATCCAATTCGTATTTACAGTGGTGCCTCTGCTCTTGCCTCTGTTTCTGTTAGTGAATCTGATGCACCAAAGATGTTCGATTTCAATAAGCAAGTTATTGAATTGGAAAAGATTGTTCTTTCTCAAGTTTCTCCACAAGAAAAGAGAGATCTTTGCGTTCAATATTGTAAGCAAAAGCAATCTGAAAGCCAATCAATGGAATGGAATTTGTTGGAAATTTTGTTTACTTCTGATGAAGAAAAAGGAAAGAAGATTCAATCATTGTTAGGATACAATAGAGAAACTATCCAACAACAATCTCAAACTGTTGAACCTCAATCAAGTGAATCCGAAAGAAATAACTCTGAGGAATTGAGCACACTCATTAAGAAGAATATTATTGTTGGAAATATGCAAGGAGCCATCAACTGTTGCTTGAGTGGTAACAGATTTTCTGATGCCTTAGTTTTGGCCAAAGTTACTGGCAATAGTGAATTGTGGAATTATGTTGTTGAACAATTTTTGAATAGTAAGGAAGGTTCCGTCATTAATGCCATGAGAGATCTTGTCTATAAGAATTATGATGCTGTTCTTAACCATACTGAAGAAAGTTGGAAGGAAAAACTTGCTACTCTCTGTTTGGATATGACAAAGAACAAGACTTTGATCGATTCTGTTCTCAAGTCTTTGGTTGAAAAGGAAGAACAACGTCTCATTGATAGACCAAATGAACCACAATCTGAAGATGATCTCCTAGGATCACTCTTGGGTTCATTCCTTTCTGGACAAATTGAACAAATCTTCACCAGATGGATTTCTGAATTCGAAAAGAGTATTGAAGGTGTTTCAACATCAAGCCCAGATTTTGCTGTCAGACTCATTGATTTGATTTCCAAGATTGAATTACTTCATACACACCATCTCACCTATGCCTCCATCTCCAAGAAGACAACTACCATTTCATACATTGAATCTATCTTGAATCAAATGTTGCAAAATGGTCATGTTTTGAATCAATATTATATTACATTTGCTATGAAATGTATTGAATTGGGCAGTTTGGTTGATGTTCAAAAGACTTTACCATTGGCTCTCCGTTGTTTGAATATTGCTATTGACCAAACTTCATCTCAACCAATTATTCTTCCAAAGGATTATTCCAATGTTGATATTCAAGAATTGAGATATCGTCTTTATCATTCCATTGGTAAGGCTCCACAAAGTCTCAAGGCTCCTTCCATGCCAAGTTCTTGGATTAAGAAGAAACCAACACAACAAACAACACAACCAACTCCAACAACTCATGCTTCTTCTATTCCACCAAGCTCAAGTGCTACAATCTCTTCTTCGACCAGATCAGATTCACCAACCAATACAAAGAAATTGGGAGGTAGTGGATACAAGAAGGTTGATGTTCAATTGTTGCCTCAACCACTTCCAACAGTTTCCCCAATTTCAGGAGCCATCGTTCCACCAACTGGTGCTGTTGCTAAGCCTGTAGCCATGCATCAACCAGTTACTGTAACTCAACCAGTCCATAACCCTGTAACAACAACACCTGTCTATCATCAACCAACTAGTACTCATAATCCAATTCATAATAATTTGGGAGGAGTTGCATCTTTCACTCCACAACCAATTCAACCATCTACTGGTTTCCAATCAAACTCAATGAGTGGAGGTATGCCACCAATGATGGGCGGAGGAATGCCATCAGTGGGAGGATATGGAATGAATTCAATGAGTGGAAATAATAATTTGGGAGGTGTGGCTACATTTGCTCCACAACCAATTCAACCATCCACTGGATTCCAATCCAACCAAATGCCAATGGGAGGTATGCCACCAATGATGGGTGGAGGTATGCCACCAAGCACAGGTAGCAGCAATTCTTCTCCATCAATGACTCCAACTTGGCAACAAGTTACAATGCCACCAACATTGAATCCACAATCAGAAGTTATTCAACAACCTATGGTTATTCAACCAGTTGTCGATCAACAAGCCATTTTGAGAGAAAATTTGGAAAAGTATGCTGGAATTGATATTGAAAGAAATGTCACAAGTGCCAGATATCAAAATGTTGTAGATAGTTTGACTCAAAGTTTCGATAAGTTATATGGAGGAGAAGATAAGGGAGCTGCTCATTTGGAAAAGAAGAGAATGATTGCTCAAAGTGTGAATGCACTCTTTACTCTTTTACAAGAAACTAGCAATGATGCATTGGCTCACGAACTTTTAATGTGGAGTGATGCCATGTTACAAGGCGATTTCACATCAGCTGACCACACTTTCAAGTCTTTGAACAAGTTGTACTTCCAAGAACTTAAGAATGCCAAGAATATGAGATTTTTAATGACCTGTCTTAAAGCATCAAAGCAATAATTTTAAATAAATTTTTATTAAACTAATACAAGTGAAGTGTACTATTTAAAGTAAAGAAAACGGAATTATGGGTAGATTGTGAAAGTGGGAACATGTTGGAAAGGAGAGGATGTTATTATTACGGAAGAATTTTTGTGTGATGATCATCAACAATTAGATTTAGAATTTAGACATTGCTCCGAGAGGTAAAGATGCCATTGGTACTTCAGATTGGGCAACTTCTTGATTTTCCAATTTAATTCCAAAAGCTGAAGCCATCAAACGATGAAGAGCATACTTTTCTTGGTCTTGACTCAAGACAAGAGGCAAATATAAAATAACCATAGCAGTTGAAGAGGTGAAAGCAATGGTTCCGAGTGTTGAAACTAAGGAAACAACCTTTCCGTAGAGTTTCTTCAACAAGAGTTTTGGATTAGAGAGGAAGGACATGATGTAGTTGATGATGTTGTTGCAATATTTTTTAAATCAAAATTAAAAAAAATAAAATTGATTGAATTGATTGAAGACTTGCTTTCAGACTTTCTTGGTGATGAAGGTAAATGAATGAGAGTAGTATGGAAAAGGCTTTTTTGATTGAAGAGAGTATTTAAGTTGATAATAGATATTAAATTGAATTTTATGAAGATTTAAACTTTAGAAAGATAGGTGAAGGAATGAGGAGGAAAGGCTTGAGGAAGGAGTACTTTCCGAATAGATTTGATCATCTTGGAATTTGAAGAAGATTTCATCCTTTTGATTGGGAATGCCGATAGTTGGTGCTGTATTATTACTGGTTTCTGTGCTGCTATTTTCTGGCTACTTGTTTTTCAATATTGAAATGGATAGAATAGTACGAGAGCTAGAATGAATTTGTAATCATCACCAACAATTGCAACACAGCCAGCTACTATTTGAAGAAATTCACAGCTCAATAATCCAAACATTAATGACAAGGTGACTGTGAATGGATTTCTGGACTTTCGGTCTGAGGAATTTTTCACATTCTTGGTGACCTTTCTGATTGTTTTGAGGACTAAATAACCAGACCATATAATTCCAATGGTATCATTGATTAAGAAAAATACAACTCCACAAAATATTATCACTGCACTGTAGAAGAATCCAACAGAGAATGTTGCCAAATAGAAATTATAAGTAGATTCTATCACCACGTGATTATCCATAATAATATTAAAAATTGCTGATAATGTAACCATGCGTAGAGGTGTAAAAGTTCATGATGTTTGGAATTCGGCAGTTTGTTGATGAGATTGAATATATGAAACTGTTTTGGATACTTATCACTATTGAATCCAATAAGAGGAAATGAAAAGGATATTATTTTTAAATGTTATTTACAATAATCTACATATTATTCCTTCAATTCAGTTTCCTTTTCTGTATCCTTTGGTTGTTTAGTTTCCAATGCTCTTTCCTTCTTTCCTTTTTCCAATAATCTATTGAGATACCAAATCTTCAGCTTTTGAATTGGATTTCTATTTCCCCATCTCAAATAGCCCGTCTTGAATTGATTGGTCATCATATCAAATTGGAAATAATGTGGCACACCCTTAATTGGCTTCTTTCCTGTCACAAAATTAATCACCTCAATCACCAAAATTCCATGCAACATAGTACAAACAGGACCCAGAGATGGAGCAGCATGTCCACTCAAATCAACATTCTTTGCTTTCATATATTTCAGATGAGTGCCAGCAGGTGCTGCTGTAATTAAATGTCTAACTATCAAATCCTCATCACTCATACTATCATTCATGCAACAGAAATCATCAAATGTTGGACCAGTTGGAAGATAGATTTGCCAAGCACATGAATAACCAATTGGACCAGCAGTAAACACAGCAATTCCCTTCTTGTGTGCATGTTTGTAGAGTAAACGTCTGGTTCTTGGTGCAAACAGATCGAGTGCATCCATTACAACATTTACACCATCAAGGAAATCATCAATATTACTTTCATCAATACCATTGGTGAATGCTTTAGTTTTGGCAAGTGGATTAATGGCAAGCACAATTTCAGATGTGACAATTGCCTTGTTTCTGCCAATTGAATTAACGGTCGCACCATATTGCCTGTTAAAGTTGACCAATTCATAGTGATCAAAATCAGCAAATTTGAAATTACTGACACCTGTTCTAGCCAATGCGCTTGCATAACCTCCACCTTTTCATCGACATGATTAGATGTTGTTGTAATGCATGTTACAATTAATAGTCAAAGTTAACAAAGATGTTAATTAATTGAGATATTTAAAACACAACATACCTGCACCACCACAGCCAGCAATTGCAACACAAGTTCTTTCAATCTTTGCTTGTTCTTCTTTTGAGACAAGTCCAATATTTCTACAGAAAGCTTCTGCAGTAGTGTATGGACGATCTAAACCAACAGTTGCTACATCAGATGATGGTTTAGTTGGTTCTGTTGATGTACTATTGTTCGATTCGGTAATGGATATATGTTCACTCATTTTATTGTGTATGGTAAGTTGATTTTAATCTCGTGTTAGAAAGTTGAAACATGATGGGCAATTTCACAAACTAGAAGTTTCGTAAATATAACCGAAAGAGACAGTCAAACCATTGGCTATCAACAAAAATACAAGGTTTTCAACTCCTAATTAACCTTGCTGATTGCCAATTGATTTCTAATGACTCCAATTTAGTATGCAAAATTGTATTCGTTTAAAATGAAACTATTCTTTCTATTCTTTCTATCAATTTATTGCAACTACACCTTGTTGTTAATAGCCATTGAGTACACAAAGTAGATGGTCTAATGTAATCGAAAGAGTGTAATACGAGTTGGAGTTGCGGTGTTTGCGAGATCACTTTCTTATATTAGAGTTCCATAAAAGGGGAATGAGTTTTTAGTAATGGAAGTAGAACTTTGTTATTGAGGATCATATAATCTAAGATCATATATCAATATTTATTCTAAATCCATGTAATTTGAAAAGAATTTTATTTAAAATTGTTATCTTCCACAACATTTCCTTATGATTTCATTACAATATCTCGAGATGTATTTCCTATCACGTGTATAATTTATTCAAAATGAGAAGACCTACTTTTGTCTCTTCTTTTTCTGAACTTCATTTACTAATGATTCCTCAGGAAGATACGTCAATTCACCACCTTCCAATTCTTTGAACAATTTCCAGTCTCTTCCTCTAATAATTTGGTTTAAGTAAGATGACCTAATGGTGCTATACTTATCTTTGTCCTCAATATTCATCTCAATGTAATAAGGAGCTCCATACCAAGTATTCCAATCATTTTCCTTTTCGAAAACCTTTCCAATATCATTAACAGGAATTCTATCCTTTCTTCCTGTTCTTGGAATGTCGAAAGCATGGCAAAAGTACTGTTTGTTGGCTTCTTGATAATGAAGAAGTATTTTCAGGTTATCTCCACCTACAATTCCATGAAGGAAAAACCCCTTTTTGAATAATTTAAGGTCTGGTTTAAACTTGATTTCTAGAGCGCAAAATCTTTCAAATTCCATAATTCCAACACTTTTGTAGTTGTGCTTTGTGATTTCATTGTTTTCAACCTTTGAAGCATCAATGGTATTTCTGAACTTGATGATGAAAACCTCGGTATCTTGTTTAACGTAGGCATCAAAAAGTGAACAAACAATATCAAAACAAAGACACCCCTTCTTTTCGTTGAATGAGCAGAATCCAATACGAGATATACAAGGTAGCTCCTTTCTATCATATTCTAATTGATGTAAACCTTGACGATTAAGAAGTGCTTCCTCAATTAAACATCTAGCACCATTCAATAATGAACTTCCACCATCTGGATTACAACTTACTTCGAAAGGAGTCCTTATTGGATTCTTGAATTCATCTTTGAGATAATTGAATTGTCTGTTGACATACTCGCTCAATTCTATGTTGGTCACATACTTCTCAATTAACTTTCTAAAATAGTCGTGAGAAATAAATGCACCATAAATCACAACATCTGTGCAACCATGTTGAAGAATAAGATCAAGAATGGGCTCTGCAATTTCCTTCACACCATCCTCGAATATTGTTTTCAACTCTTCGTATTTTTCAGGTAACTCTGCTGAACTTCTATAGTCGAACAAATTTTTCATGACTTCCATTGGATCGAAGTTACTATCATACTGCTTAATCTTTTCATGGATGAGAGAAACTCCTCTTGTTTCTCCATTCACTTGAAGTATTTCATCATTTTTCTTAACAAGTGCATCACATGTCAAATGGCCGATATCAATAATCAAGGTACTCGGTTTGTCAGAATTCAAACGCAACAGCAATGAATATTCCTCAACAACATAGATATCATCCATTTCAATTGGTCTTGAAGTTTTGCATGTTTCATCAATAACTTGTTTTACAACTCTTTTAAATCTCTTCTTTGCTTCAAGATCAGTGTCAGTGGGTACTGTGAAAATGAAACAATTGGCAACAACAACATTCTTTAGCATTCCCTTTTCTGTTTTTTTATGGAATGAAGTGCAAGACTTGAAAAGTAATATCAAGAATTCTTTCAATAATTGCTCTACCTTGAATTCTTCACCTTCCATTTCAATTTGCTTGAAATCCATGACGGTGAACCACTTTTTAATACTTGGAAAGAGAATGTGCTGACCTTCTGGTTTGACCAATGAGAAAGTTTGTGTTGATTTACAAAAATAGAGCCATGTTTTTACAAACTCAATGCTACTTCCACTTTCTGATGAAGTTTTTCCAGGCACAAAGTTCAAAACACTGGACAAGACATTGTTTCCTTTTACAGTTATACTCTT